GTAGGCTCCACGAAGTGAATGGATGTGAGTGAGTGAGCGCGTGTTGTTGCTTTGAAGTTCGAGCCCGGCTCGGCGACTCTATTCGGGCTCAAACATGGAAACGCAAACAAACACAGTGACTTCATCGATTCTAGTCGGAGGGAGGTAAGAATTTGTCGAAATCCACCCCCATTGACGCGGTAGTGAATCATGCATCGGTATCACCAGCGACAGTCAACAACAATAGCCAATGGACGACCGACCAGTAGACAAGCAACAGCTCGGGCACAATGGCAGCGAGCACTTTCTTTGGATAAATTCGATCGTCGGCAGCGTCCGTCGGCTCCTTTGTGGATTCAGATCGCACATTTTTTTCTTCTCATGTCTCTGTTCGTCGATCAATACATCGAATGCAACTGCGGTTTGAATTGAGCGCCCTCGTGTCTCTTCCGACGGGGAGCCGCTACTCACACGAGTTTCGGTGCTCCATTCCTAGGCTTGCTGACGATTGAGACAGAGATATTGCACAAACAGCGAATATTTGGCGTGGGAGCCACGTGCGTATTTACGCTCCGAGCGATTAGGCAGGATGACATCATAGATAGGCATCCTTGGTTGAATGAAGCCGTGGCCGGTAGAGAGAATCTCGGTGGATGACGAACGGAATGACGTATTCGAATTTCGACCGTGCTCGGGCATCATCAGGACGGAAGGACCAGAGCCTGAATTTCGAACCGAAAAAAACGAGAACCCATTCCCATTCCACCTCTATCGAATAAGTTTCTTTCCCCCGGATCGCGGTCTTTTTTCTGACCGATCCTTAGACACGCAGAGCGTCGTGGATGGATCGATTGGATGGGCTCCCGATCGAGCTCGTGCTCTTGAACCTACCAACGTCTTGTTGACGCGGAGGTTCCGAGGCTTGACTGATGAACGAGACGACAACGACGATATCGGAGACGAAGACTCTCACCAACACGAGCTCACGTGTGTCAGCGCTGTCGGTTCTCGAGCCGAAACGAGAGGAACATGACTCTGAGGGTCTTGTCGACTAAACAACATACATCGCCGCCACTATTACAGCGAGCTCAGGCGAAGCCTTCCCTCGAGGAACAGGAGGCGAAAGTGGGGCGGATGGAAACCGCGACGAGGACTACCGAGGAAATGAATGAAAGGTTGGCGGACTCGATGAGTCACAGAGATTGGGAACTCGTAGGATACAAGAAGCAACAGGAAGCGACAGCCGACCGGTGTTCCATCCCAATCCCATTCCACACGGGGAGAAAGACGAATTCTCGAGCTACTTGGCTCGGAGTCTCGATGGCTCGGATGGCGTCAAATTTGAATGTCACCGGTGGGAAAAATCCGCTTAGACGTTCCTCTCGAGGGCCCGAGTTCACCGTTGATCTTCTCTCGTACTCTGAGTGCTACGAACGCGGCTCCGGCTCCGGGACACAATGCAAGTCGTGTGGCGACGTCGGATAAAGTGCACCATCCCGAGCGGGGTGGCTACAATAATAATTCATTATACGCACGGCAAGGCAGCGGGGAGAATGATATCTATGCACAGTCGGCCGTAGAAAGACGAATCCACTAACTCATCTCTCCATTTTTATTCTTATACACCTCTCCATAGTCGAGGCGCCGGGAGCTGTGAACTTTGTCGAATCGGAGGGAACTCGAAACCAATGGTAATTCTCAAAAATCCGTTTTGAAGGAGAGTTCTATGCTATTAACCGAATAAGGCTTCGATGTCGGAAGGAAGCCTTGGCGGGAAATATTTCGGGGACGAGTTGGGAACTCATCGAAAATACTTTCCGAGCGGCGAAGTCTCCCCTTCGAATCGAGAGGTAATGTCCGCTGTCGCTCGCTCTACCCAGGGTCATGCCGACAGACCAGAGAAGCCCAGAAGCGGTGTTGAGGGAAAGGGCGCCGAGAAGAGGTGATTGTGGAAATCACTGGGTCCCATCTGGGTGATCGTCAATGAGCAGAATGATCGAAAACTCTTCGATTGAGATCACAAACAACGTGAGGTCGAGTGCTCACCGCATCCGTCACTATTCGTGCGAACGTGCTCGTCATGGCGCGAAATTGGCTCCTTTGCTCCATTGGCTCTCGAAGCTCAGCAGTGTAGTCCAGCCCGAAGAAGTTTGGTGGAGATCATCAACAAAATCATGTCTTCCAGGATGGCTATTTCCACATTTTCCCCGGAATGACAGCTGAACTCTCTGATACATTTCATTCCGCTCGAAATCAAGGGGGATGTTCTATCGATAAACGATATTCAAGCCGTCGGTGATATTCCTCGTAACCGACACGCGATCCGATCGCCTTCTTCGCCTCGGTGCGTAAGATCGTCGAATCAGGACCTATCCCGGAGCGTCCGAATCTACTATCGGACTCCAAACGGACACGTCCGTTCACTCCTGAGGAGGGGTTCATTTTGGAATGCACAGGATCACTTTATTAGCAAACATTAAGATGACGAAGGGGAATTTTCCTCTCTCGAAACGTTCTCTCCCAGTAACTTTGCTTCCCTGCCGAGATAATCCGCGAGCAGCGGGGGCCACGTATTGACAGATTCTTAGGGGATTTAGCCATTAGTGGAGGAGTCCCGAGTGGGTCGGTGTTCGCCATCGCGTCAGCTAGTAGCTGGCTTGCGGGCAGGCGGATTTGAGTAAGGCAGCAGAAAGGCTGGCAGGCCGAGCGAGCGAGACGGGCAGACGAACGACAGGCTAAGGGAGACATGCGGGTGCGAGAGAGTTTTTTCGCACAGAAATAAATGGATCAATGAACAGAAAGGATGAATGAACGCTGGGCTGAATGAAAAGTTTCCATCGTGCAACTTTGATGCGAGGAGCTCTCCAAGCAACGTGACTTCTAGGAAATACATAACCTCTGACAAGCTGCTTTGACAACTTGGCGAGTAGGTTTTGCGTCCCTCCAGAACCTCTTTGCTGTCTCCTAGATATTCTTTTCGGGATCGGAAGCGAGTCTTCGGAACAAACTTCTCGCATCGGATACATGATCTTTCTACGCGTCGTGTTCGATACCAGATGGTCCCGGAGCGCGGTTCTTCGGTAGGAGCCAGGGACTTGGAATCGCTCCGATAGGCCTGCGAGCGGTTCTGTCTCGGGCAGCTAAGGAATTCCACTTGTGGCGAAATGTTCGGAGCGGAACCGCCCCTCCGGAATTCCCTTTGTCTCTACCCTGTCGCCGCGTGGCACTCATCCTCACGGGGCTGAGGACAGCTATCATTACGGAGTGGGAGACCGTCGCATCTCGAAAGTCCATTGAGCATGCAAAACGAGCCGACTGCGCGTGGAGGAGGACTTTATGGAGGAATCATTGTTCTTCGCATCGCTTCTGAGGAGTGTTCAGCTCTTGACTCGAGTCCGGAATAAATTATACGAGCGGTCGCAGCGCGGCCACTCGAACACAGAGGACTGACGGGTGAACTAGGAAGAAGGGGGTTATGGGGAAGTTGAGGGAAGAGGGAGCCTCATCACTCAGGTTCTTTTTTCCCAGTTCCCGTCCCTTCGTTGGGCGGGAACAGCCTTCCATTTATCCACTGACTTGTCAATCAGAGACATTCATTATGGCGTGCATTATTAATTGGCTGCATTTTGGCTGACAAACCCTTAGCCGGCCTAATCTTTAATTCATTCAGACGAGCTTCATGTGACCGGGAGAAATGATTATGTCGTCGCCGTTCGAGGATTAACCAGCCGGGAATTAACGAACCAAGGCCCCTTATCGAGTGTCTTTCGGCCGAACAGAGTACACGCCGGTCCTTGATCACAGGATCTGATATCTAGATTCGCGGAAACTTCGTCATCCTCCGAGACGCCTTCAGAGGGATCTTTCGGATTCTGCGCTCCGTCCCGGATACCCAGCGATATATTGGACCTGTTGTGGTGCCCATTATAAATGCGGGGCGTCGCCCTCTAAAAAAACGTCGGACGTCATTAGTCGATATTTGTTTCCTTCCCAAGACGAGATGTCGCGGCAGCTCGGTGTTCAGTCGGAGGACGGCGCTGTTTCAATCGAGCACGCTGCCGGCAGCAGTCGTCCTCGACAGGAATTGAATGACAGGCACATCCCGCTTGCCAACAGTGATCAGCCGACATGATTCTTTGAAGCGAGCTCAGCCATTGGACTCGACAGAAACAACATATTTCCGACAAACTCCCGACTCGGCCTCGAGTCGGTGACGCGACGTCATAGAAATGACACTCACATGTATGTACGTAAGACGAAAACGCATGTTTCTGCTCATGAATCGACCGGGCTCGCCCTTGGAGCCTAATGCACCGACCGCACCATCCGGAGCTCAAATCAGAGCAGGAGAACACGGAAACCGCCTGGCGGATGGCTCGTTGGATTTTCGGCCCTCCGAATTTTCCGATGCGGCCGGAATCTCCGCGGAAGAAGACGAAACTCTGAACCGCATCCGGATTGGCACTAGGATATTTTCTTTATCGGGTGTCGAGGATTTCGCTTCAGATTCCCTAGGAAAATATCCATGAGCCTCGTTCGGACATTCGGCGGGGCATGAATCGATCCGGCAGACCCACAGCAAATGTTCTAACGCGCGTCCATCGATTGGCAACAGCTATCAAGCGGATCCGAAACGCTCTCTGTACATGAAACACAACAGAGTTGGAGGCCGAACAAACGTCCAGACGATGTTCCGTTGAATAATTGATTCTTCGGTCGCCCGACTCCGTTGCCCAACTTCAAGCAACTCAAATCGTCTGACAGACCGAGGCTTCCCGGTACGATCGCACAGAAACTCTCTCGATGAGCGAATGCGCCGAAGCGAACCCTGCAGGGCCTGATCAAGAATCTCGAACGTTAATGAATTAATTTCTGGCGCGACGATAAAACGCGCAAGTGTCTCCTCATTGGATGTTCCGGCACGTGGCTATCCTTGTTATTCTTTCTTGTCGCAACGAGCTTGTTTTCTCAGATCCGAAATCATCGAAATCGATATTTTCAATTCAAGCGGTATTTCTAAGTGCTTCCTGTTGTTTCAGATCGCCATCACAACTCGAGCGGCTTCGTAGGAGGTGCCGCGACGCTGCAATGCGACATCAACGAAGAGCATTGTGGACGCGTTTATTTGGTCACGTGGACAAAATTAAATCAGAGAGGACAGTGGGAACGCGTCTATTTGTTCAGTAAAAGCGTAAATCGAGTTCTCGGCCCCCTCGCCGACCCGGACCGAGCCGCGTTCCACGCCAGTGAGTATACTCGTAGTATAAAATTCTAGCTCGACCGAATTGTTGCTCCCTCCCCATTCCATTGTTAGGGATTCCCGTCGCGACCGATGCACGAACATGCATTCCTGGATGAGGGATTGAGCGAAGAATGAAGCTCTGCGGAGACCAAGATTCGAACACCTGTTCCTCGGAACGTTTCCGTACCTCCCAGAGCCTGGCCGGCCGCCATGTTGGAAGGCGTCGGCAACAGTTTCCCTCGGCGTGCGTGAGAATTAGCTTCGTCGAGCGAACAGGCCGTGGCGGAAAGATCGGCGAGACAAAAGAGAGAAAGGCATGCGATGCTTGCTCGTATTATGAGCAAAATAATAGTGATAATAAAAGACGTCTACCAAAAGAGGCAATTTCGTAACGAGCGTGCGGACATGGTGGCGCTTTTATTGCACGATAGGAAAAAAAACTCACCACTTTACCAGTTCAGGCCAAATCGTTGTTGTTTGGAGCCCCAGCTCGAGACAAAATCGTCGGACGCAGCAGCTCCCGAACGGGGACAGAGCGGGAGGGTCCTGGGGTCGCGGGCATAACAGGGCATTTTGAACTCGCTGAGAATCTCTGGAGAAGGCAGTGGCCAACAAGGCGCAGTTGGAGCGGATGGCCTCCCCAGTAAATTGGGTTAACTCGAAAGGGTCGGCGAGGCTTCTGGAGGCTTCTTAAGACGCCCTCATATTGTTCCCCGCTCAGGAGCCGTTTCGCTCGGCCTGCTCACGCCAGTCGACGAGTGCGAAGCTGGCGAACCGATGATTTTTAAGCGCACGTAACAAACAAGCGCGCGCCCCGCTGAAGGCAGGCTGGGAGACGGGCAATAAGAAAGCTGATTGAGGGACGTCGGGGTAAATGAATGGCTTCTCGCTAGAATCAGTCCGAAAACGCGCGAAATTTAACGAGCTGCCGACGAAATGAGCCCCGTCGACAGCAGGCGGAACGTCAGGGCAGCGAAAAAATCGAAAGGCTGCTAGACGAGAACCGAGGGAGAACTACTGGAGAGCTATAACAAGGGAACGGTATTAGGGGTCAGCGAGAAGGCTATTCGGGGCTGATTCGAGAAGGGGAGGGAATTCATATCGGGACGCCATACTTTCAACGAAAGAGAGCCAGGGCATAGCGAGAGTCAGCGGCTGCGAGAGGAAATCGGGGGCAGTGGGGTGACCGGAGCTGACGCGGTCTTGCTTTTTCCGTAACGAGCCGAACGAACAGCTCAGGGAAGAAAGAATATTGAGCACATATTGATGGTGATCCCTGCACAGCGTCATCGAACACTTGAACTCTCGTCGACCAACGGAAGACGGTCGTCTCCTCCGGCAGGGCTCAAGCTGCCTAGAATTAGCCTTGTGTGCTCTCCTGCTCGACGGCTTTCTTGCGGGCTCGCTTGCCGATGGAGAGAAAGAAATTCCTCTGGACGAAGAGACGAAGAAAAGGGAAGCGACAGATTAGTTCTGGGCATAGAAGAGAAGGGAGATATAGATCCCTGTGTAGAATGCTCGGTTGGCGGCGCAAGACAGGCTGAAAGGAGAACACAGACCTTCCGGGGAATTAGCCACCGATCGATATAATTCCGCTCGGCTTTAGCTCCCTGCACCCCCACTAACCACTGTTTGTGACCCTCGAGCGCCACTCGAATCGAAGAAACGACACGTTCCGATGCCGGTGTGGATCCAGGCTTCCCGGATCGCTGATAATTATTTCACATGGTTCCACTTCGATCCGTCAACTCTGGACACTCCTGCCACGCTTCGCGAGTTCCCCGCTCGACGAAGGAAGCCATGCTTCGCTTCGCAATCGAGTTTGCTTCGCCCGAACGGCTGTGATGTTTAGAGTTCCGCCCAGACAGAAATCCTATTCTTCGCGCGATACCCCATCATGGTTTAGACTCACTCATCAGTCAATTCATTCTCAGTACTACCACGGTGACTTGGACCCGGCCAAGAGCCTCCTCTCCTTCCGCATGGCGTTTGCAGAGCAAAAGATTTCGATGTAAGGGGAACACGAAATAGGGCACACTGGATGGAAACTGTGCGGACCGACGCGCTCCGGACGCAGCGAAAGTTCGCTATCGGACAAATGATTCAATGTTGGAGTGGTTGGTGGTCTGATCGACTTTCGGCCGCTCCCGGTCTGAGACAAAAAAAAAGAGGAATCTCGGGGTTGTGCGGGTCGTCACACAACTTGATTAACTCGCCCCGCGACCCGCCGTCCCGATAAGCAATACGAAGATTGCGAAGTTCCATTCAATTCCAGCTCGCAACATTTTTCTCCGGCTTTTCGTCCCGAAAGACTTCACGGACGGGATCGATTGATATCAGGGAATCTCTCCTGAAACTCCTCCACGACGGCTATTGAATTTCGCAGACGGAAGTGGGGTCTAGCTTCATCGAATATACGCTTTCTCCGAGCGATGAAATTCTAGAGAGGCGGTTCAAAAGAAGAAGAGCTCCTGGAGAGCTTGACGCGTCAACAAGGAGCGATACGGAGCGCGGTGGAAAGATACGAGCCTACGGCAGGTGCAGTATTTTCCGCGCATCCCAACGAGAGATTCTGAGACCCGGTCTGAGGCCTAGCGGGCGAGGCTCTGGGGACAGATAGCGAATGCGAAAGGAGGCGAAACGGATTCGCCGAGATAAGTATGTGCCACCAATAAAAAGGCCCGGCACTCCTCGTTGAACCAAACAATCTTATTGCACTCCGGCCGCACCGAGATGTAGCTGTGACAAGTCAGAACAAGGGAGGATCCACGAGGAGCAGCGTGTAAAGCGAGTACAAGGAGGGAACCCCGCGAGAGAGATCAACGAGACTCCTCTCAACAATAATCAAAGCTGACTGACATTCGAAGTATTGTTGCAGCTGACGGTGGGAGTCTGCCTCACCGTTTGAGCGGGCGACCCAGACACCGACCGGCAAGCTGTCTTGCCTGCGCACTGTTAGTGGTGACTCAACGGTAGAGCATCCCTGAGATTCATCCGATGAGGGTGCACTCGCCAGAGATGACTCGACCGAGGGAACGAACGAACGGTAGAGGAAAGGTAACGAACAAATCGAGGAGCGCCCCTCTCCCGACAGCCTGCAGAATCAAATGATCTCGTCTAAATGTGATTTGGAAACGAGCTGTTAAGTGTTGTTGGCCGCATTGGCCAGCCGAGGGAACGAGAGGGATCCGCTCGAGAAGGATCCGGAGGAAACGATAGAGTAAGCACTTCTGGTCCGGGAACGACGTGATCGAAGTTCCTTCCCGCCAACCGCGATAGCAGCTCCTACAGGCTGCGGTCATCGATTCTTGACCTAGCCGTAGTCCGGACTGGAGTGGACTCACAATGAGTCTCCATCGATCAGGGGCAGGAAACAAATATTTTCACCTTCGACGATGACAATCGCTCATGTTGGCGCCGAGTGGGTCTCGGGAGCTGCTCTCTTTCGAGCTGGAACTTTCCGATGGGCTCCGGGACCGCGTGACTTGGCGGGAATGTCACCTACGTACATTCATCGTGAGCCATCATGCGTGACAACCTCGTGTCGTGAGCTTTTTAACAAGGGGTATAAACATATACGAAGCGTGAATTATTTCCTGCAGTCCGACATACAAGACCATCGAGACCGTTTACATAATATACTCTCACATACATTTATTCTTGGCAATAGCGCTCGCCTTGTCGGGCAGCTCGCAACAACGTCCTTGTGTTCGGCATGAATTCCTCGGTTTCCTAGAATATTTCCGCACTATGCTCAATCGTCCATGTTCACCCTGTATGTCAGCGAACAGAGTATTCGGGGAAAGATCTAAAGGAGAACGCATCTCCTTTTCGGTTTCGGCTTGTACGGAGGACACACGGCGGCGCGGATGGCCTCGTCGAAAACGTTCTTCAAACCTCTCTGAGTCAACGAAGAACACTCGAGATATTTGACAGCGCTGATCTCTTTCGCCATACCGAGCCCCTGAGTATATGTGATAGGAGCCAGCTTCCTGTCACGGAGCTTATCAAGGGTTTCTTTGTCATCCCGGAGGTCGAACTTCAAGCCGACCAAGACGATGGGTGTATTAGGACAGTGGAGACTGAGTTCCGGGTACCACTTCGCGCGGACGTTTTCGAACGATGCGGGGTTCACGAGCGAGAAGCAAAGTAAAAACACATCGGTTTGTGGATAGGACAGCGGACGAAGCCTGTCGTAGTCTTCCTGACCGGCAGTATCCCATAGACCTAAGTTGATAGGCTTCCCGTCAACCATCACATTGGCCGAATAATTGTCGAAAACCGTGGGAATATACTCCCCAGGGAAGGCATTTGTCGTATACGAGATGAGGAGGCATGTCTTACCGACAGCTCCGTCTCCTATAACGACACATTTGATAGCCTGCATTGTGAGTTAGGAGCAGGTTTCGTTGTAGAGGATCCGGGCACGGTCGCCCGGACTGCAGATCCCGCTAACGGCCTCTAGCCCTAGGATCTCGCAGCACACCGAAAAGCGCACTTGCTTCCACTCCTGGCGACGTTTATTTCTATCTAGGCGCTGCTTAAATACAGATCCAGTATAGAGGGTGAGAGCTATCCTCCGCGAGGATGCTTGATTACCTAGGGTGATCTAGTTAGGGTTCAACCCCCTTAGACAGACGAAGGAGTTCAGATCGGACTTGATTTTTTTTCGAAGTGAACGTTCTCTTTATTAAATTACCTAATATTTGGGAGGGGTCGTGCGCTTGGCACACCATGTCGTCATAACAGCTATTCATGAGTACTTGAGATCACTGGAGGCGTCAAGCTATTCGCCACGGGAACATATTGTGCGTCCTCGATGGTCTTGCGTTGAAACTTGGCTTGAGAATGAAGGCTCGCCGCAGAGGGGCCCATCTAAGCTCAAATAGTCGGTCGAAGATTGGGTCATTGGGTTATTGATGGTTCCGGAGTCCTCTTCGTCTAGCTAAGTGTCGGGGTTCTGGAATCAAAAGCTCACCGCACCCGATGCACGAGTGGGGTGAACCCCGGAATCGGTTCTCTAAGCTAAGGGGCTCGGAGCCTCACTATCTAATTGATTTCCCTATTTCTAACAGTTCAGTATTCACGTTTTCTGTTTCGGCCCGATTGAACTTCAGTGCTTTTTTTCCGATAGGATTTCTTCGAGGATTTTTGGAGATATCCAAAATTACTCGGCAGCCCGAATCGTACATTCATGATAGGAGTTTATAAAGATCGAGACGAATCGATAATTTTCTAGATGAAACTCGAGGATGAAGTGGTATCTCAACAATTATTGCCCTTTCATCCAGAGTTCTCGGGACGCGGCTCTTGAACGATGGTTGAATTGTGAGGACGACCGGAGTTGTGTCGCCGTCTTCCGCAAAATCTAAATTACACCGAATTCCGGTCTTGGGCCCTGACGAAGCTAACTCAGGTGACTTGCAAGAAAGTGGCGGCGGGCCAGGCATCCGCGAGTAAGCAGGCGAGCGGGAGGGTCACACCTTCATGAAGGAATCCTGCGGGAACATTAGCATATAAACAGGGAAGCGGAGCGAGCATAGCCTCCAGCGTTGCTGGACACTGCTAGAGGGCATGCGCTGTCTTTTCTCCTCTTTCTCTCACGCAGCTTGTTCGTGCGTTCGTTCGTTCTTCTTCCTTCTTTTTCCTCGTATATGGCTTTCCAATATAGCTTCGCTCCAACTTGGCCTTCGGTGGTACGCGTGTGCGAAGGATAGTCTGGCTTCCCGGCTTGTAGCTACCCGCAATTGCTTCCGGTACTCTATTCCGTCCTATCGCTTATTTCCTTACTCATTGACGTCACCACGATCGGACTCGATCGCACTCCGAGTTCGTTGAGTCTTCATTCCGAGGGCTGCCGCTGGATGTTTACCACGGGATCGGAGCCGCCTCAAAAGCTCGGGAGAAGCCGATTTGAAGAGTTGCCCGAGCGGCATCCGTGCCGGCTCTAATGAATCCGCGTGTTACAATTATTCATCGAGCCATTATGATGAGCGTTTCTTTTGCTGATCCAGCTCCGGAGGGTCCTTGGGGGAGAAGGGGGGATTGGAGGGTGGTCACAAGTTGCGATATTAAGCTCCCTGAGACTACAAATGAAAGTTAAGATCCCAAATAATTCTAATGGGCCTCCGTTTTTTCAGGTAACGAGTCCACCCACTTGCGTATCTTCCCGCTAAAAGTCACCGACGATGGCACTTACAAATGCGATGTAACCTACGTCCAAGGCGAATGTCCATCGCTCTCTTTCACGCATCTTCAAACGCTAAGTAAGTTCACTCCAGCATGCTCAACTGATTGGCCTCTAAGTTGCCCGCAGTGGGAAAAGTACTCTCGACAGTCAGTCGACTTCTCCTCTATAGCTCGAAGCAACGAACGAAATGCCCACCATCGACCTCACTGAATGCACCAGTGCGGTTTATTTGGGAAAGAGCTGATCTTTCAAATTATGGAGGGTGCTCAGAAAAGTTTGATGACGGCCTCGTTCTCGACCGTCGTGATCAATGGGCGAACGCTGCTCGTTCTTGTTGACGATAATGATGATAAGTGAATGCTCGATGCTGTTTAGAGATAATTGATGGAGGTTCCGATGAGCGAGCCGATGGAGATTCCTCTGATAATCACAATGACCGCATTGTTGATCACGGTAATGGTTGAGGCGTGCTTGATGAAAGTGAAAGTTAATTGATGACGCTGAGACCCAGCGAAAGGCGGCGAATTGCGGGTTCCGAATCCCGACGAGAACTCCCCGTGTTGGGATAGAGCGAGAAGTGCCAAGTCGAGCGATTCAAGATGGCTCCCGATAAAAGCCGAGCGTGGACGGCCAGTCGACTTTGAGAGAGACCGATCGCGGCTTCTCTGCTAAAAGAAGTTGACAAGGAGAACGACGAAGGGAGAACAGGTCGCAGAGGCGAAAGAAGACGGGGCTCGAAGGTCTTCCCTTCGAAATCCACGAGATCCTTTCAAACTCGCTAAACGAGTCGAAGGCGTGGAACCGGCTCCCAGCGGGTTCGGTGATGCTTCCGCGGTTCAGGCCGATGTTAACTCACAGACGAAGATGGTCTGCGTCGACTGCGTTCCCGCAGTCCTGGCTCTCGTCAACATTTTTGGCTTCTGCTCCACAGCAGCAGCGGCTCCGACGACGTCGCTGCGGCTGCTTGACGGTTTCTCCCAACGCGGTCTGGAGCTCGCTGAACAATTTAGAAACAAATTGCACATACGGGACACGGCGAAACGCTCATGCCGAAGCCGCCTTCCGCATCTGTGGCGGCTTAGCCATCATGGCGGCTGGAACATTGGCTGTATCTACGAAGGGGGAAACTGCACGAAAACGCAGGCTTGTCCACCGGCTCGGCTCATACTGATCGTACGTTCCGCGGACTTCCGTCGGACTTCCCACCCTGCCGTCCGTCCGGCGGTCGCGTACGTTTGACCCGACGGACGAATACCCACCCCCAAGGACTGGCGTGGTATGTGTTATATTAAATACTACCTACAGATACATAACCCAACTAGCCGAGTTCTCATTTGGGTGTGTGTGCGAGCGAGAGAGCGGACGGACAAGCGAGCGCGTATGCAGAACGAGAGTGCGCATTATTATGAGTCGTTAAATGCATCGGAGCATTCGAAAATTAACCCCGGGTTTGGTGCTGCCAAGTAATCGGGGAATTAGGGGTAATTGCAGTCTTAACGCTCGGGTTCGACCGACTCGACTTGGATTACGTACGACTTCACTTGGATCGAACTGGTCTGTCGCGCACAGGAAATTTCAGGACTGCGCTCGAGGCTCTCTCCGCGAACTCAAGATGGCTCCACCGTGCTCGACGGCGATTCGGGGCGGCGCGGGTACGCGGGGCGCGGTTCCGTCACCTCAAGGTTGAATGTCCCTTCACTTTCGATCGATTTATCAATCATCATGCTTTTGCCCGAGTTCGTTCATCCATCTGGCCTTCCTCCGGAGGGTGAATGCGTGACGGCTAAGCCCATGAATTCGTTTGACAAAATAAACTCCTACTAGCGGCACTCGTTCTTCGTCTCGGAGGTTCCCTTCTTGCTGTAACCCTTCTTCCACTCTCGCTGCCGCTGATGCTGTTGCGAGAATCCCCTCGGTCTCTCGCCCTCTTTCGCTCGCTCCAAACACATACATAGAATGGAGCGAATTCGTATAAAGCAAGAGAACTCCGGAACGCGGACGTGTCGACCGGGCGGCAGGCGAACGCGTGGGCGAGCGAGCGAGTGAGTGAACGTTTCAGCGTTCAGGGGTAGGCCTGCTTAGTCAAGCGCACGTCCCAATACGTTCGTCTGCACGTCTTTCCGTTCGTCGGCCGCTCGCCCAACATTCGCTTCGGATTTTGGATTTCGTCTTCGAGTTCCTACCGAAAACTTGTAGCCCGCCAACTGGATTCGCTCCATCCTGCCTTCGGAGTCTAGAGACTCTGAATAGGACTTCTGCAAAAATATGCCCCGTATTTTCCCGCGGAGTTCCCCCGTTGCCTCTATGCGCCGTTCGGCTCGGGGGAAATTTCCTCGATCGTCGGAGCATCCTCACACGGAAATGAAGAACGAAACGGAAAGAGTAGGAGGGCAGGAAGGACTCTTGACACAGCAGCAACTCATTCTGGTTTTTGTGTCACTCGTTCTGCTGAAAATTACATTTTTGTTCTGTGCCGAATTCTCTCCCCCTTCTATAACGTGTTCTTCTGCTGACTGGAACTCTTTCCATGGCTGCATTTCCATCATTTCGCTCGTCTTCGAGTTCCTCGACGGGGGCGAGAGAATGCGCAGAATAGCCGCTCCGGTAACAGACAGCAGACATCTCGATTCCGTTGAGAGAATGTTCGGAGGCGGGAGAAACGTGCGTGAAGGAGAAGACTTGAGGTCGAGATCGAATCGGGGACGGTGAAGAAATCTACGGTTGGGGAGGCGAAGCAAGGTATAGGGGGAGGAATAAAAGAGCTCGTCGGCTAGTGGCGAGTGAGAGCCATTCCGATTTTCCTCTCAAGATGTTTGAATGGTCTCACAGGGATAGGCGGATCGGAGCGGAAAAACGCAGTGAGCATAACCGAATCGTCGGACGCGGATCCAATCCATTCCGAACACCGCAGAGGCTTCTCGGTGAGATAAAGACGGGAAGAGTTCAGAAGCCGACAACAAGCGAACATATAATTTCGGTCTCTTCGAAAATAGGAGAAAGTATAACAGAGCCGGCATCGTCGCCTCTCCGCTCGCCGATCCATTCAGGAAAGAAATCTTCATGTTCCCTAGACTCGCGAGCGATAAACTGTAAGACACTTAGAGCGCTCCAAGGGAGGAGGGCTCCCAGCGACCCGACCTGAAATCTGGAAACGAGCGAATTCTCCTCAAAGTTCGCGTCTCAAGCAACCGAACGAAGATCCGACGGAATTCTGAGGAGATCAAGCAAACTCTCGAACATCCGATATCCTGATGACGTTGGTCTTTCGGGGGTGTGTTGAAAGCCTCGCTGAACGATCTACCGCTAAATCCACCTGAGTTTACTCTAGCGGTAGGGAGAACGGCGGAGGGGGAGTCGCACGATAATACGTTGCGCTATCTATCGAGCGAAAAATCGCCTGATTTACAGCCAGAGGGCGTGTTATGTAGCAGAGAGAGAGGGAAGAGCTACAGCGTCGGCTCTGAGAAAGAAGGATTCGGGGCTAACGGGGCATCAGAGGGGACTGTCGGAGGCAGAAGAAGATTAGGGAATCGAGCGAGGAACAACAAGGCTTCCTCTCTTTCTGCCGTCGAGGGAGAGATGCAAGAAGATACAATGGCCACATACGGAACACAGGGTGTGACTCGGGGAGGGCAAGAGATCGACTCAGGGAGAGTTCTAAACGATCGAAGAAATGACGAGAAGAGGGAGGCCGTGGCGTAGAGTAGAAGTACTTGGAGTCGAAGAGGGTATCGGGAGTCGATCGGGATGAAGAAACAAGCCCAGGGAGAAAAGGGTGCGGGAAAGCACAGGAATTTCGGCTCGGAGGGTTGGGCTGACGGGAATACTCGAGTCAGGTTCGTTGAGCAGGCGGAGGGCGTATCGGGTATAACCCGTAGTATTCCAGTCGACAGGACGGGGGAAAAAGCTCTGACTGCGAGCCTAATGCGGTCGAACTGCTCGTTAACTTTATCTTATCATCGAACGTATTCCAGCGGGCCGGCGAGGACCAGTTTGGTCGGTGCTGACGCTGCTGATCTGGAGGATCGCGCTCACGCAGAGTCTTTCTGGTTGATCTCGACTATGCAGGTGTTCTAGCGACGGTGAACGCCTTTCTTAGTGAGATTGTGTGATCACGACTTGATTTAGGAAGAGGGGAAAAATCTCGGAAGGCAGCGTCGGAGATGGAGACGGTTTGAATTCAAGAGAGAACCGGCCTCCGCTTGCCGAAGGAAGCGCTCGACCGGGATAAAAATGAGACTTGGTTAGGGAAGTGAAGGCTTCGAGAGGACTAGCTGGACGCGGAACGTGTGCATTTCAATGCAAATCAAGACCGGCTGCTAGTTTGGTGGACCCGGTCCTTAGAGCTCTGATTTAAACCCGGGGCTCAGATGGGAAGCCTGATTTTTTCGTCTGTCGTATTATTTAATGGAGGAAATTCCGGGGAGCGGACCTGGGGCGGGATGGAAGCGCGGTGCGAGGTGGGAAGCCAGGGCATGGACGAGAGGGTGAAAAATAGCGAGTCTAGGCTCAAGCAAAATGTGGTAGAGACAAGCGTGGTCGAGGGAGAGAGAATGAGGGCGAAAAATAGGGAGAGTGAGGAATAAATAAAAAATGAGGAAAAGAGATTCGGCTTAGGAGGGAAGGAGCGCGGGTGACCCCAGTTCATCTTCAAGTCCGCACGAAAATCCCCGAGATCTCAGAAGAGTTTGCCGCGGCTCTCTCTCTTCTGATTCTCCTTCGGTTTCCATAACCCGGTCGACTGCCGCGACGACGATTCCCACAAAGACGCTTCCGCTTCTCCTCGGTCGCTCCGTGGCGGAGACTTGCCGGTCGCTTCCCTGTTCGCCCGGCTTTAAGACTCACTGGCGAGAAGAGTTTCCTGAAATCTCCGGATGTCCGGGGTCCGCTCATGAGAGCCGTGGGGGAAAAACCAAGTAGGAAAGGGATTTTCCTGTTCAGAGAGGGGAAGAATCAAGGAACGGCTGCAAGACTCGACAAGCCGGAGTATGGGAGTAGGCAGCGGGACGATCCGGCGATTTAGACAGACGTACATAAAGGAAGCAAAATAATCAGCCGATCAGACAGAGGAATAGAGGAACTTCTATTATTCTGAGTCACACTTAAGACCTTGGGCGCTCGAGAGGTCAATGGCAGAATCCTATCGCGCTCGAATTTTCCGCCCGAATATACTGCGCTCATACGCTGTGAGTTTCAAGGCGAATCCCGTCTGCGTCCCGATCTGCCTCATCTGAGGATTACTCTCGGAATCCTCTCAAGCTCACTGGTGTTCTCGTTCATGTAATTGAGGGTCTCATTCGGTGATATGAGATTTATGTGATTCGAAGAAAATCAAGCAGATGGGAAAAAGTAGCGAAAACTCAACATTTCGGTTTTTTGTCTGCACTCGACTAGATAGACTTTTTCTTCGGCTCTCTTCTCCCTCAGCCGATGTGGATGGAAAACTTGGCTGATTGGATGGTTGCATTTTTGTGAAGAGGCAAGATTTTTTTTCCCGCCAGCATTCGACTACAGCAATCCTCGTTACTCTTCCTCAAGTCCTCTCTCGGTGCCCCAAGTCTCCTCCATCATGTTCGAGCCGAGATTTCCGCAATGAGTCCGCTCAGCATGAGCTTGCCGGGTGCTCGAACGCTGGATTTCTTTTCCATCGGCTCTGTTTCATCCCTTGGCTCCGAGAGAAGGCCTTTGAAAACTCGGATCGTAATTCGCCTGCGATTCGCCGCCATGCCTTTCTTCGCTCAATGAATGAGCTTACAAGGAATGCCAAACGTCTCGGACGCCCGACCGAGTTAATCCGCAGTGAGCCGCGCGATAAGTTCAAATTCGAAAACTAACGAATCGATTGTGTTTCCGGTACATGTCTTGGGGAAGAAGAGAAGCGGTCGAATAATGGGAGACCGAAGAAAAAATCTGGAAGTCGGGAACAAGAAGTTTGAGGCAGTTTACTTAGGCCGCCCTTTCGGCCGTCATTGTAAAGCATTTACGTAGACGTCGGCTGTAACGGCTGCGGCATTTGCAACGACTACTCGATGGCCATCGGTCGTCTTGGAACGGTGCTCCGGTCTTGGAAACCTCTCTCTGCTCTCTCGGTCGCCTCACGCGCCGAATTCTCCTTGCCAATTTATTCCATCGAAAGAAGGGTGTTCACGTGGCCCTCGGTTCTTCTATGATTATTATTGGAACCCTCGACTCCCGTACTCCCTTGAGCTCATTCGATTCGGAAAATATGAATTTCCTCCCTTGGGCTGAAGGAGGAATTATGAACCATTTGTCCTGTTGTGGTGCGTGCGGATCGAGCTTGCGTTTGAGTCCCAGAATTTAAGACTCAACCTGAATTGCGCCGTCTTCCGCTTCCCTTCGGCTTCTCCCTGATCGAGGACGATCCCGAATCCGACGCATCGGCCCGCGTCGTTCCCTCGTTTTCTCACGGTCAAGTGACCAAGCCCGTTCTCGATTGGGGTGCCGCCGCTGAGGCCGCCGAAGGTTTCTAACAGTGTGAGAGACGACGACATTGTCGACAGCTTGTCTTGATGGTTTGCCGTTGATATATTCAACGCGGGTAGCAGCGGCGAAGGCTTGCCGCTGCAGTTTCGGCAAGGCCATTTGTTCGCTATGGAGCGAGGCACAACTATCGAACCCACTGCACGGGTGCAAAAGCCAAAAGGAAGCCAACCGACTCGTCTGAATCGCTCCATGAATCGGTCATGAATTGAAGGCGTCGCGCACAACCTGTCCGTCGACTCGGGGGCCCGTTCGACACACGGGACATTTCTCCCGAAAACAGGAAAAATAAAATAAAATTGTACAGACAAAATTGTCTCATCGAATCTCCGGAAGTGAAAGCGAGGAATCGAACAGCTCCCGCCCTCGGCGATTCTGGGATACACAGCTTGGGGGAAAGGAGGATCTCTTGCAGTGCACATGCACGACAAAAAATGGAAGGAGACGGGAGTGGGCAGACTTACAGGCAGACAAAGTTGCTGACCTGGTCCGAAGAGAATAACAGTCGGGAGAACGGCACTTTGTAAGTGATATCGGTTCCTCCTGGGAATGAATCACATTCTCTATCCGAGCACGTTTTTTTTTGTTCGAGTTGCCCCCCCACCCCGACTTCAATCCCGTTATCGCCCTGCTTCACAGACCTGCCGCCCACAGTCGCTGCCGAAGCGCACGAGCGCAGCGGACAGATGCGCTGAACTTTCGCACATTCTCGTTCCTCACCTCAAATTTACTTTCGGCCACTCGTTCTTCTGGAACTCAATCGCTCTCGCTGCCGACGTCACGGATCCCACCAAGACAGTACGAACGAGGTCCCGATTTCCTTCGTGTCCAAGCCCCGCGTCTCAATGACGCCGCCGCGAGATTTTCTATTCCAAGCGGGAATTACCATTTGCAAGCTTCGCTATGGATTGTTTTTTTCTACTCTCGACGACGACGACGACGTTGACGGGAAAACGGTATGCATAGCATGGAACCAAAGCATAGCAGCGTTTTTAAACACCCTAATCCGATATGTCCTTCCTAAGAGAGCGATGAGTTCTACGAGAGTATCGGCCCGACTCATATGGACCCGCAATCGCAGACGCAGAGGCGGCACCGACCGCAATGCCAAAGTCTCTGGAGAGTCGAAGGTGTAAATGAATGGGGTCCGGTCGCACACTTTCTGATACTTATAGCATCCACACAGGCTGTGCGGGAGGAATGGAGGGGGCGAGGCAACGAGAGCCGGTCATGCAGAGGCAAGAAGAACTATGCGAAGCGCTATCGAACGCACATCCGTCCACCGCTTCGAGGAACAAGACAACAACCCTTCAATTACTCTACCACCATCCACCGACTACCCAGGCCGATTACAGTAGTAGCAATGGCTCGAGCGATGCGGGCTTTCATTTCCATGTCAGTCAGCCCCCGTATCTCTTCTATGTGGAGCGTACTCTCGCGCGGGAGTAGGTTGTTTGCCAACCTGTGTTCGGATCCTCCCCGACCGACCGACGGGCGGTCGGAAGCGACGAGAGAAGGGACCCTCCGACGAGGAGAATATCGAACGATGGTTTTGTCGGTGCAAATATAGATTCGTAGATGAATGAACGTAGATGAATCGATTGCAAGCAGGGTGGTGCGCGGGTGACTGTCCGTCTGGAAAGACGTACGGAAGGCAGGCAGCCCGGCCGGCCTGTCGGCTGACGGGCAAAGGCGTCTGTCCTTTCAATCCATGGGGGCATTACGTAGGGACGCCATAATTACAACAACGCCGTTTGACCATGAGGAACGGGATGAGGGGACCTCGTCGGGGGGCTCTAAGCCCGCGGCGGGACAGGGGCTCTTCCGAGAGAGAAGAAAACGAGGCGGCGAAAAGAAGCGGCAAGAATGAGAGATAAGGAGAGGATATCTCCCAAGGGATGGATTGGCCGCAAGATAGTTCGCAACGAGGGTGGCTGGCTGACTGCTATAGCTGCCGTCGGCGCCGCTGCCACCGCTTGGCCTCCTGCCTCGGCCGTTATCCCCGGACCCGATTGGGCGCCAGAGCAGGCAGCGAGCCAATAAGACCGATATTCTCTCATCAGATACACGCAACGTCCAGTTATCTCCCGTCGGAGGAACAATCTATGCAATGGGACTCCGAGAGAATCCACGACCTCGTGCAGGAGTCCTCGTCGACTGTGCGCGTTGTTATAAGCCGCTAGTCATGCCACTCCTTGCGATATTGTCATAAGGGCTGCGTGTTGTGGGCGCCGAGTCTCTTGGAGTGATACGCAGATCATTTGTGATTCTGCGGTGTCCGATCGGATGGTTAGGAATCTGGCTGAGAGCCACGATGTTTTGCGTTGACCATCGATTCTTCAGCCCTGTTTTGGGTTTCTCGGTCATGCATGTTTTCTCTCTCGTCTATCAGTCCTGATTAGGGATCTGGGGAGACACTGAACTCCCCGATCCGATTCCAATGTCCGAGCTCGGCAAGCGAGCGCCGACGACCGGACCTCCTGGAACGGAAATTCTAGAGATCAGACGTATCTGTGACCGGCGAATCGCTGGTTACCGGGGTGACGCGTGCCGAGCCCGATCCAAGTCTATCTCGGGACCCGGGAACAAAGTGACGGACCAACTTCCAGCGTTGGTCAATTTGCGCCGAATCACAGGTCTCCCCATGGAAACTCCGCGGGTACTGTATTTGTCGCGACGGCGCTCCGGTCGTCGGACGGATTTGTATCATCGTAGGTACTTCCGTTCTGAGATCAACGCATTTACCAACGATCCCACCCGAAGCGTCACAGCTATCTTACTCCATCCCGTCGGATATTTCTCGATTCTGACACTTATCCTGGCATTCTGAATTATTGAAAAATCGGAAATCAGAAAGGATCTCAGATCTCAGGGCGATGTGATTAGTTGTCCCTTGATTCTGAGCCGGTGTCTATCGAGAGCGATAAAACCAATCGAATTTGTACGATTTCGTGGTCGATCGGCGGACACGATTCGCTCCACATGATAAGCCGTTAAGGCGCAAACCCTTGAGACGTATGTATTATGAAGAAAAAGGAGATCGCCGATGATGTTCGATGATTGCCTTGCGGGTCGCGCCCTGCACCTAAGGACACAGCTGCAACTCAGGGCCAGAGCTTCTGTTGTTCCGCTTCGCTGTAAGATCCCTATCTCCGAGAATACTGCGCCACCCCCCCCGCGCTCTGGAAGATGGGAGATCGAGTCGAGAGATACTCGGTTCTGTGATATAACAGTGCAGAAAGCCCACCAGAGCGTAGTCGGAAATGGCCCGTAGTTCCGTAAGACGCGTAAGCCGAGATCGGTACCGCAGGTGTCCAACGCGCGAGCAAACGATAGGGAGCCCAACGAGCACGCATGAATCCGCTTCAGTTTCTATGTTCGCGAGCTCGGCTCCTGGTCTCAGCTCTGTGGACTGCAGACTGAGTAATTGAGTAGGTAATTGCAGATTGAGCTCGGAGCATTCACTTATGGATAATCTCCTAAACTAACAATTTTCACATTTTTCGTTCCAGTCGAGCCCCAGGATCCTGTGATGCGTCTCGAGGGCCGAGTGCTCGACAGCGGCTCTGTACTAGGGCCATTCATCGAGGGACAAACCATCGTCTTGGATTGCGTGTCACTTCAAGGGCGTCCAGCCTCTATGGTAAGATGATCGACCCAGGCGGAGCTTACAACCGACCCAGAGCTAGCTGACCCAGCGAACGACCGACAGACCCAACGGCCCGGCCGACCGACCGGCCGACTCACCGAGCGACCGACCGACTGACTGACTGATTCAATCCTAATCCTTTGGTGGCGCGTGGGTGACAGTAATTGAGCGAGGCGCCAAGAGACACCACCCCGGTCAGCGTTTGCCCGTCCGTTTCTTGGCAGGACGGCCGTCGCCTTGACTGGTCGCCGGGCAGGCTGGAGGTCGGCCCTGGTGGAGATGATATCCTTCATCAGCGAGGGCGGCAGGAGATGAAAATGAAGATATAGACAGATCCACAAAGAGATGAGATTCGGCTGCTCATCATACATAAGCTGACTTGAGCTCCGTCAGGCCTGAGGAAAAACGCTGTCATGGTCATCGAAGCGGAGTATCCTAACGAAGTTTGCGATCAAACATCGATGCCGGAGAGCCGCCAACATTGGATTAAAAAGTGCTTCCGATCGATCTGTTTGATCTCCTCCCTGTAGATTCTCGTTCCTCTCGATCATGCCGCCTCATTTTTCTTTCGGAATTCCGATGCACAATCCACGATTTCCGGCCTTTATCTAATGGGGCGATAGGGGACAATCGGCGAAGTTTTTCAGCATTTTTCTGAGTCCGAGGAACCATCGCAAGAGCTCCAGTCCGTTCGGGTCGAGAAAGACACGGTGCTGCTCCCCAATTCCCTTCACTCGCCGCGCCGTCGGTCGGTGCACGAGGTAGTCGTACTTCGCTCCCACGAAGGGAGGGGACGAGTGAGCGAGCAGACAACGAGTGAAATAGAGACGCCGAGATCCGATACGTGGAGCTTTCGAAATTTTCAGTTGTTCGAACAGGAGCCGCTTGCGACGTGGGGCGAGGCTAAATCAAAGTCTGGATAATCCCACTTGAAAGAGAGCCGAAGGCACTTTGCCCCGATTCCCTCCCCTACATCCGGTCCATGTTTTTGTCCGTGGCGTCTCGTATTTTTTCCGACGGCAGCGCTCGGATTGAAAGCCCCAAAAAAAGCATCGGCAGCTGCTACAGCCACATGAGTTATTTCCGTATTCGCCCTCGTCTTTCCTCGGGACGCTCCCGCTCAAATCGCAACGAATCCAATTTGTTCGAGAGTTCACGTGGCTTGCACTGTGCTTCATGATTCTGTGATACCGAGAGCAGTCGGAGAGTAAGTCAGCCAGCTCGACTAGGGCCCGGAAGATTGAATACCTGACTGCTGAACTCCTAAAGTGTGACTGACTGACTGACTGAGAGGTAGAATCCGCTCTATACTCGAGGGAGTCTCTCGAACAAACAAGTTAGCCTCTCAGCTCGTAGTACGCTCGGGGCGATGCTCATCACGCTCCAGGCAAACGGCTCCATGGGCGGACGGCGAGACTTCAGTAGTAGATGGTTCGAGGGTAGTGGTAAAGGCTTGTAGTTACAGACGAAACGCGAGTGCTGATGGTGTTGTGCCGGTCGAGGGAATGGTGAGCGGCTGCCGGCAACGTTGAAGTGTCCCGGCCCATTCCGCTGGGAGATTGACACTAACTCTTTTCGGCCTGAGCTCGGGAGGGCGAAACCTTTTGGTTCAATTCAGAGCTCGCTATTAGCTCTCCCGCCGCCGCTTCCTCCACCCTGATCGAACTTTCGAGATCGGATCCCGTCAACTTTTCGGGAACAGAACTGTGGACTTATTAAGTGGAGTGGACTCGTCGTCGACGAGATGGGAAGGTCGACGATCGAGTGAATTTTATTATGTCCGTGTAGCTTGACGAATCCGAATCTCCGCCATGTCACTTTTATTCTATCGTTTCGATCACGAACGAGACAAAGGAGGTTTCGGGCAGCCGCGAGGTCCGCGGCGACGAGCGTAAGCGTCGCGAGGGTCATCAAGAGCTTCATGACTTGTTGCTTCCTCGAGCTCCGTGACCGGCCCTCCATAGCGCTCGCCATTTCGCAAGCTCGGTCGCACTCTCGCGAACTTACGTATGGAACCATGGACCGACCGACCGGCCGTCCGACGTCAGTGCGTTCTTGGCCCAGGGCGCGAGGTTGCCGCGTGCAGCCGTAATCTCTTCCGGGCGATTTGATCCACTGTGATAGAGGATAGCGATGCGGCGCATGGGAGGAAGTGTGGCAGATCGCTTCACATCGGCGGCTTAATCATCTGGCGATATTCGTCGGTGTCGTCGTCGTCGTCTTCCCATCTCTCGCATATACACGCGGGCCGAGTCACCGAAACAGCCGGCCCCCGACCAGCCGCAAGTCGACCGAAATGATCCTGCCGATCCAATCGCGGCAAACAACGTGGACAAACAACTGTGGACTCAATCCCGAAACGCGAGATTGTGGATCTGGTGTTTTGCACATTTCAAGAATTTTTTCTTCCCATCGCCATCACGGACCCTCCCCGTTCAGAGAGAGGGTGCCCGCGCAAGTACGCGGTACTCGTAATCGCTCAAGTGAAAGCCAGCTCCGCGTTATTAACCTGGGCTCGGAACAACCCGGCGTGAGTTGGTGCCCCGTAAGGGATAGGGGCCCCGGCCATTTGGCTTCTCCCCAACCAGGACTTGGCGTTCGGGGAGCCGAACAAGGAATTCGCTCGCGACCACAGCGATGTCCACCGCAGCGCGAATTCGCCGGGTGGTAGATGATTCGTTGGCTCGTTTTTTTCCTCGCCCGCTCTTCTTTCGCTCGACAGAAACAGGCTCCCATTGGTCCGCACTTCATGCAGTTTCAGAAGCGAGTCAGCCCGGCGACTGCAGTTCAACAGATAGCGGACGGGCGAGTGAATGTGAGCCTGGCTCGACGGAATTCGCTCTGTTGGGAATGCGGGTCGACACTGCCGAGACGCTTATGGGAGAAGAACGGAGGTGGGCTAACAATAGGTTCTAACAGCAAACTAAGTGGACGAATGAGCGGAGCCCAGAGGATGTTGCGCGCGAGGACTCGCTCAGAGGGCTCGTTCCGAAGCAGCGGAACAAAGGATTCTCTAGGCGAAGAGGTCAATTCGCGCACTCTAAAGGAGGATCGGCTGTGACGGAAGAGAATCACGGTCCCGAAACCCGGAAACGCAGGATCCCTGGAAAAACTCCGGTTCTGCATACGGGACACGGAAACAGACTGCGGGAGAACTAGGATTGCGATGCTAACATTCGGAAGGACGGCGAGCAAGTTGCGGGGGGCTGAGTTTACACGCACAACTATGTAAGTCGCCTTCGGACGCGAGATAAGTGTGTGCAGTCGGCCCGCCGTAATTCATTAAGCAACTTGGTCGTCTGAGGCCTCGGCGACAAAAAGCGTCGGAGTCAGTCGTCTGCAACTTGCCAAGACAAATGAGAATTAATGCCCATCATTCCCTGAATCTCTCGCTGGCATCCCTCGACTCCGGAGGATTCTGCTGGAGTGGTCCTCTCGCTCGAACCTTCTCCCAAACCGGTTCTACTCGCAGCCGTCACTCATTGCCGCCGGTTTTTGCCCTCATTCACGCTGGCTGGCTTGCTGCCTGCCTGCCTGCTTCCACCATAGGATGGACTCATTTAGTCAGCCAGTCAGTCAGTCAACGGCAGAGCCAGTGAGAACAAAAGCGACGGCGTCAGAAATCGCATTAACCCCGCATAAAATCCGGAAACCCTTGATGACGCTGCCAACTTTCATCATTAACGCCGAGAGGGACTCGGGGATCCAGGCCGCGTTCAACAGATCCGTACAGACGATCTCACAATCAGTATCCGAGCTAAGGGAGGCAGCGAACATCTATGGATAGAACACGAATAAACTAACAAATGGGAAAACACGTACGCGCACAAACGAAAAAGACAATCGATTGAAAGCTCACAGCTGTTCTTAATGTGCCTTCGATTGTGCGCGGAAGTCGCTGTTCGAGTTGCATTCGCCCGTTCCAATCTCACGGAGTTCTCCCGGTCTGCCTCTGCAGATTCCGAATCGAGCGCTTCTCCCCCCCCGCTTCTTTCTCCATCCGCCAAGCTCACAGCTCGAAATGCACACGATCGTAGCGTTGCTACGGGTCGGGCTACCTTTCAATTATACGAACTGCAGCCTTCCTACGTCAATCTACGCGCACACTCAATCCCACTGTCTTCTTCCGTACGCAATAGAAAGAAAAAAAGAGCCGGCTGTCGATGCCGTCGACACCGACGACTCGCAGGGGCTATAATCGAGTTTGTTCATTGCTCGTTCGCTTCATCGAACAAAAGACCTTTGAAATAACCCGCGCGTGTTGAATGGAGCCGCGGTGTCTCGAACGTCCTTCCTCCGCTCCTCACCCATCATCTGAAACATCGTTCCAAGTCATTCCTTAAAAATTTATTCATCACCGACCGCCTCCTGCGCCGGCATTCTGGCTCTGATGGGGTTCTCCACGCTCCTCGGTCGAAGGAGCCGATTTGTTTCGCCAGAGCTGATTATTAGCATGTATGCCCCTCTTACGCAGCGTGCTAACGTCTCTCGAATTTCCAGATAACGTGGCGTAACGGAACCTCAGTGCTCCCGGTGAAAGTATCATCGCAGCCTCATGCCTCCGGACTGACGGATGTCGTCGCGACGGCGCGATTCGTCGTCTCTCGATGGGATTTGGGAGCGCGACTGGATTGCGTCGTCGACAACCCCGCGTCTCCAAGGAAAACCGTTGTTAACTTCGTTACCCTCGATGTTCACGGTGAGTGCCACAAGTGCATTACGTTTCCAGCTGTCGTCGTTCACGTACTCGGGGCCTCCGACCGCCACGTCCTCGACCACGTTCGGTATTGGCCAGGAAAATGGCAGCCAGCAGTTTTTCCACCGTCCGTCGCTGCAGAAGCGAATTACACTCTCCGAATCCGGGACGGTCCCCATTCTTTCGTCATTGACTGTTGTAATCGTTTGGACTTCGGGGGACCGAATCAAACCGCAATCAGCTCCGTGCTCGCCGCGGAGCAATCCTCGCTGGGATTTTTTCCATCCATAAATTGAGATCTAGCGCCGATCGTCGATCAGGCGAGCGGAACGTACAGTCAGTCTCGGGCTGGGGTTTCGGGAAACGGTGATAAAAAACAAAATGTCGGATGGAGTGAGGACGACCAGCTCGTGGGAATGAGGCTTAGCTCTAGTACCCTCGAACGAGTAGTATGTACGTCGATATCCGGTCGGCGGCACGGATGACTGAATAAGCACTAGTCTCCGACAACTGCTTTCTCCATATGCGGTGGTGATAATAGTAGGCGTCGTATTCGTCGCCCTCATCTCGTCCCCTCGTCCCCGTTTCCCAGAGCAATGTCCTATGGGCGAATAAGAGGGGTGGGCAAGGAGAAAGGAAACGACAAGCTTCATGGAAACCCGATTCGCCGCCTTCAAGCCAGGCGGACAACGAGCGGTGGACGACATTGACCACAAGAGCACCGTCGCGAATCTCGTCCTCGCAGGAAAGATTCCTGGAGGTGATTCCGGGACTTCCCCACATTTCGGATATATGCGCACTCAGTATCCGGAAAATAATGGCTCGATCGGGAGGGGACGATGGGTCAGCCCGTCAGGCTCAGGATGGATGATCCTCCCGCGAAATGCGAAGCTGATGTTCGAAATTCACGCCAATCGGAATTCGAGATTTACTGAGACTGTGCTCCGTTGAGCAACAATACTCTCGCCGCCGCCCCTACCCCTCCCTCCGCCAGTAAATTGAATTGGAGCACGTAAGCCGCCCGACCAAGAAGAAGTACGGCCATTTGACAAGGGCTCACGACACAACACAAATGATTTCTATTCTGCAGCTCTCCTCCGACGGCTCCTTCCGCGTTCCGCACTTTTTCTTCCTTCGCTCCGTCCGTCTTCGAACTCTCTTCTGGCCATCCGCTGCGATCGCGGTCTTACTTCAAACGCTCGTTTCGACCCCGCTTGTCGTCTTGGCCCTGCTTAGGAGCCCTTTTCTGTCTTTTTTTTTGTTTAGGGCCAACCGGCGAGACAAGCGAAACTGGCAGTTTCGAGAATTCTTCCGGAGTTATCTCGCGCCATTTGTATTTGGGATCCTCCGGCGAGGCGATTTTTTTTCTCGTCTGCCCGGCGAGCGCTAGCTCAGTCCATGGAGGGTCTCCGCTGACCGGTCGGGCAATGGTTCGTCCGCGTCTGGCCGCTTGGCGTTCGGATCTCTTTCTAACTTCCCGCGCCGCTATCAATCTCCGCCGTCGGAGAAGTGGAGAGTCGTTTCGGTTTGCCGTTATTTGGGCAAAATTATTATTTTACGTTGTTCTTCGATTTCCCCAAACTCCCGTCAAGTCCCTCGTCCGACATTGACTCCGAACGACGGTCTCCGGTTCGCTTTCCCTAATGTCCTCGCCCCTCCGTCTGCCGACTCGCAGTTGCCTCGTTCCCCGTTCTTATTTTCATTTGGAATTACCCCGGACAATGCCCCAAGCCCAGACGATGGCGTTCCTTTGTTCTTCGTTCTCTCGAATCCCTATGGCGGCACAAATCATTTCGCGCTCAGTGAACTATGTATTTGCTACAAGCAAAAGCAGCCATGGCAATTAGCAGCGCGGACGGGCTCCGTATATCCACGCTCCCAATATCGCTCCGTCCGTTTATTATACCTCTCGAAAGCTCCCTCGCTCGGCATATCTCTCCGTCGTCCCCGGCCTCCCTCGCGTATCTCTCTTGCCCGTCCCGTGCATACATCGAACTCTGTCCCCGACCGACGATGCGAGCTCCTAGGGAAACGAATGTTTTTAAGGGGATGAAGAAGACACCGAGCGCACGATCGAACCGGTCGATTGGAGTTTGCCCGATTGTCGGAGCAAAAAACCGGCAGTCTGCCAACGAAGAATGATTCATTGAGCGAAACACCGAGAGTTCCACCTGAGCTAACAGAACGCTCGCGCTGAACCAGCGCTCACGCACCCCGCATGCGTGGAACGCTCGGGGAACTCTCGGCTGGATGCTCCTGGAAACTCCCTCTACCGAGGTGCGCCGAGCGATACCCCAGGGCCGTCGTTCCTCTTCGAGAAAAATCATCGCCGAGAAGATGATGCGGAGCTCACTCCGAACCGAACACACTGACGAGTCTCACGCTTTCCAGAACGTCGATTAGCGAATTCGCTTGAATTCGGCTCCCGACAGCGCGGATGGATGCACGGATCGCTGAGGAATGCGTTTTTCGCAAGGAGATTCCTTGCGGAAAACGCAGAATTAGTCGTACCTTATTCAAAATATCGCTTCTTTCTCCTTGCAGTCCGACCCAGTGCGCTCCGCCTTCGAGGTCCAGCGCATCCCGTCGTCGCGGGGGAAATGGTCTCTCTGACGTGCGTGGTGGACGGCGCGAAGCCGGCGGCCAACATTACGTGGTACAACAGGTAAGGGGAGAGCTCCTTCTTTAGAGAGTGTCCACACACGCTCACAAATTCTTCCGTGATCCTAGTCATCAGCACTTATCTGAGGAGCCATTCTAAGGCGACGTCGGTGACGAAGCGCGAAGGCGCACCTGGAGCCCGACAGCTATGGAGTTGGAATCCCGATCGAGCACGCAGGCAATTTGAACACTATGCGGTCAAGTCTGGCGTACGCTTCGGGTACTGACTCGGATTCGCCTTGGATCTACGATGGAAAAGATCAAAAACTGTCGCTGCTCCCGAAAGTCGACGGAGAAGTCACATATGAATTCAAAACCGAAAAGTACTTCCATGTCTGATCCGGGTCTCAGAGATGAGTATAAAAGAGTCACTTCCGTGGCCGGACTGGCGGCGCCGGCCTGGGCACGAATGGCGCGCGAGAACCTCTCAGATCATCCGCTAGATGGCTGGGTTTCACTCGCGTTCCAATTGCGCGATTCCTTTTTTCCGGCTCGGTCTCGGAAGTGACCCGATGATACTCTCAAATGCGACGGGTCCGTCTCCCGAAGAAACTGCTCCACCCGCGATTTGCCTACCTCGCTCATTTGCATCGGGGCTGGCGCATTATTCTGCGCTCCGAACTCATGGAATACAGGATCCTCCTCACGCGTCGCTGAGGGCCCCATATCAACTTCAGGATCTCCATTAGCGGAGGCTCGGCACTCGTTTGTCAGCTCTTAAAATACGAACTTGAATGGAAATCCCCCGAGGTTTATCCTCCGGAAATGTTCCGCAGCTACGTCCGGGACTCTCGGTGTTCTACCATCATCCTGAATTTATCCGGTGTGCTAAGTGAATGCTTCCATGACCGGTCTCAGGATTCGAGGCTCTTCCGAGGTCCGGATCTCCGATCCTCGCCCGAATTCGAAGCCGGAATTCGAACTCCTAAGGGTGAGAACGCCAAAGTTCCGATTCCTTCATTTCCTCACCCGGAGCTGCTGTACGAGTGCTCCAATGCTCGAGCGATGCCTCCTGCTCCGCGGGGAAGATGCCTCCTATGACAGTAGTTTTTCTCGCTGCGTGATCTTTTGCGTGAAAATGTGAGTTGCGCATTGCGTGACTTGTGTTTGGTCCATCGCCTCGTTCGAGCCGCGGGCCACCTGCGAGGTGACGAGCTATTTTGGTGAAGCGGAGGAAAGTTGGCCGTCCCTTGTCCGGGCAGTCCATCCGACAGGCCGAGTTGTTGCTCACAGCCAGAAAGAATCAATTATCCCGGAACGGATGCTTCGGTGAGGAATATGGTGAGCAGCCGCCTTTCCGGTCGATGCCTATCATTCCCTCCGCACGACAACTTCGGATTGAATCGGGTCGGGGTTGTCGGGAGTGTACCAGCCGTGGCAAGGGAAACGTTGGGAGCTCGGGCATTATCACTGTCGAACGAGTTTTTCGCGCGATTGGTGTTCAGATAGATAGGCTTTATTAGATAGACACCCACGCTACATCTTATCTCGAATCTTTTATGAAATCTTTTCGGAGTGGCTTTTTCTTGTCAGCTGATGTAGCGAGGCGCTCGGTCGCAGCTTCAGCGCCTAATACCGCGCTGTTCTTGGCTGGAATAACTATATTTCCTACATCACGCGGCTTTCAATGCTACTTTGAGCACTCGGGAGCCATAATGCACTAGATTCCATGAGGAGACTCCATAAATCACGAGTTTCGCTTTCAAAGCGCTTCCCCTCTCTCTCCTGATGCCTTACCTTCAATCCGGGTATTCTCGGTCTCGTTCTTCTCTCCAAATTATCTCCAACGTTTTGTGGTTGACATACGCGTGCTGTTCAGCTTGTCGGGGAAGATCTCCCGTCCGCTCCTGTTTTTCGTGACACCTCGGCGACGGTAAATTTAATTCCTTTCAATTTTTCCTCATACGTGTGTTCGTGCATCGGTATTGAAGTATTCGGAGGGAACAGGGACGATACTCCGATCGTATTTCTGGTCTCTGATCTCTATCGAATAAGAGATTTCCACTTCGATTCCTGCTCGTGATTTATTTGCGCCGCCCATCCAAACTGACGGCGCTCTCACCGGATCTCTCACGGTGTTTTCGTTACACCAATGAATCGAATGTTATTGACCTTGGCCGCGAGGAATTCCTCGGCGTAGAGTCGCTGCCTTCGGGACTCAGCTCGCGTTCGGAAGCACAGCTCCGACTCAAGTAATTCCGACGGGCGTTGACGCTCCATTGATTTCCCCAATATTCGAATGCTACTCGTTCCGAGAATTTTCTTCAGGCTCACTAAGTCAACAGATGAGCCGGGTGTACGGATAGCTCCGCCGATCACAGGGAAAGAACTTTCGAACGATCTTTCGAAGAAAGACCTGAACGGGAGCATGAGTCCCGCCTTCTCTCAGCAGGCGGCCATCCTTGTGAAAATGATACTATTTCGTAGAGTACGAGAGATCTTCCGCGAGGAGCTTCCTGGGCATCCGAGTTCCGAACCCGTCCCGATAATTTCAACGACAGATCCGTGGCCTGGGTTACCATTGGGGCGAGAGCGGCGCACACGGGCACAGATCAATCGATTCGGGTTTGTCGGCGCGGCGTGTCCATAGCGCCACGTCCAGTTGATATGTATGCTGGAGGCCTGTCGCGTATGTACGTATGTAAATATCGAAATCTCATATATCGTGGGCCATTGTATCAACCTCAGAACATATGGCTTTCAGTTAGCCGAGGGACGCTGGAAAACAGCTCCTCCCTTCTCCGTCGCTCGAACTAGACAGCAAGCGGGCGAGTGAGAGGCGGATGGACGGGCGAGGGAGCGAGCAAGCGGATGAAACGAACGTCGGATAGACTAGCAACGAACCAGCCGGTGATCGCGAGCGAGCGACTTCAATTTTGATAAAGTTGATCAATGTCTCCCATTATTCATTCTCGACAGTTCGCTTTTGTCCTTTGCTGCTGCTCCTGCGGCGGCGAGCGGACCACCAGCGAGCGAATAAAGCCAGTCAGCCTCAATACATTCTAATCGGCTTCGTATCCCACGCTCCCGGCAGGGGGAGCGAGCGACGATATGAAGGAGCAGTTGACCGCTTTTTCGTCCTCGGATCTTCGTCGGGGTTTGTCGCATTTCAATGAAGCCATCGTGATAAGGGAGGGGGATTCGGGTTTGCGGAAGTTCCCCGACCTACATTCGCTCACCGGTTGGTAGGCTCGGACCGGTCTCGAGTGTAGGTTGGCGGAATGGGAGAAGCCGTTCTGCCATCGGGAGGAGCTCGGGAGGAAAATCACAATCTAGGTCGTGAGAGACACGCACGAGAACGCGCTCGAGTGTACGCCGAAGACGACGTACGCATTTAGAAATTTCAAAAGTTCGACTCGGGGAACCCGGACGGAGTGGAACGAGCCCAGCTGCACGCGTCATGAATAGCCTGCTTTAGTAAAATGTTCGCTAACGAGCGCGGCTTTCCGACGTTCCAGGTCGGAGCTTGTCAATCCCCAACCGATACCGACGGAGGAACCACTCCAGGATGGGACGTTCCGAACGACATCGACCATTGTGCTTATCGCGACGCAATTCGATCATCAGAGCGAATATTTCTGCAAAGGTCAGTATAGCCCAAGGGTCATGCCAAGAGCGATATTCAGTGGAAACTCGATTATATGAGCTTTCGGGAAATTCACCTCGGTCATCAAGATTCCGAAAATTTACCCCGACTGTGTCAAGTTTCTGAAAATGTTCCTCGATTATATAAGTTTCTCGAACATATACCTAGATCATATCGAGCTAGTATGCCCCCTCTCCACGGCAAGAGTATTCAAGATGAAAACAAACCCAAATTCCGAATATTCAACTCGATTATATTCACTTCCCGATCCCATGAATTCCGATGGGACTCCAATTATGGTGTGCACCCATCAGCCCGAATACCCGTTAGACGTTGGAATAATTATATCATCCGTTTTCGGCGTCATCACTTGATTATCATCGAGGTCCTACTGTACGTAGGAGCTGTACGGTACCGAAACATCTCATACCGCAGACAGATCGACCTGGACAGCAGACATTTTCCGGCCATACTAATATAAGCGCACTCGCAGACACAAAACAAGCAGCCTTCTAATTTGGAGCTTTCAATGGATCAACAAAGCCTCGAGGCGAGCTCATCATCTCCGTTGGTAGTACAGGGTTCGTTTGGGTGGTCCCAAATGAAACCGCAGACAAACAAGGCCGTGCCCTCGTCGCCGCAAAGCTCCTTTGTAGGGGATTATAATTGTGGAAAACGAATCAGACAGGTTCGGCGCGCCCGCTGGATCGTTGCTCCGACCTGTTTTCTCCTTTAAACCTCCTCCTGGGATTGCTGAGTCTGAGCGTCCATCAGGGGCAGAAGCGTGAGAGAGCGAAGGACCGAGCGGGCGAAGGTCGACACAAAACGAAATATTTACTTTCGCTTTCGAAGTAGCACATCAAATCCTGGCTTGGGAGTTTGTCCCCTCCCCCCTGGCGTGGAGCTCCCGCCTAATCTCTCCCCTTCTTCGGTTCGCGATACACGGACGTACATATATTCGTGTGCGTCCGCATACGTGGCGACGGGCTCTTCCCGTCTATCCACTGAAGACGGATTGAGCTATTGTGTTGCGGGTCTAGTTACCGTCACCCAGACCTGCGGGTTCTTTTCGCCGAAGAATGAGGGAGACACGGTCCCCTCGCTCTTAGCGGCAGCTTGCTTCTCTCTCCGGAGGGAGCAGATTCGTGGGAAAGGAAGTCGACTCGAGAGCGGCTGCGCCCTCCTGGAGAATTAAGCTTGCGTCCCGTGAACTGAGGAGTCGCTTCTCGCCCCGAATTCGGGAGGACGGAGATGGGAGGCGACGAGGGAGACGTGGGCAGGCCCTCACACTGGTCGCCGATCGAAGGGTCCCCTTGGGTCTCGTCATCTTGAAAGACTTAAGCTCCGAGCGCTGTCGCCCCAACGTCGGATTTGGTGTTAGCTTGCGTTTGGTCACGGTTCCCCGTCAACCTCAGAGGGGATTTGCATCACGGCCAACGAGGCTAAATTGAAGATGAGCCACGAGCAAACAACAAAAGTGCGATGTGTTACAAGCAAACCAAGCGGTCTCCGCAAAGCCGTGGACGGGTTCTTGTCGACGGGGAGAACAATTCTCCAGCGCTCCGATGCTTGATTTCCGTGGAAATTTCCCTCTTACCAATAGAACAGCTCATTGGCCTGCCCCCGGACAACTGTGATCTCAGAAATTTTGCTCGGGAGCCAATATGGAGTACAAGGAGGGGAGCTGAGGAAAATAAATCCATTGACACTGTTTTCACCGTCTGAATATGTAATCTCGAATTCCAGGAATGAACCAGGTGCTCAAAAATCGGACCGAGGCCCCGTTCCTTCAAGCAGTCCGTCTTGAGGTCCTCTGTGAGTATCATTCCAAATACCGAAGAGCTCTCTGTAGAATGACTCCGGCTGGAAATAAAAGAAGCAACAACTGTCGAGAAAAGTGCAACAGGAGCCAATTCGACGTCACCGCAAGCAGGGGACTGAGGAGCAGCAACGGTGGTGCCATGGATCGTCTCGAGAGAGAAAATGTTTTTTAACCATCTGTCACACAAACGAGTGTCGTTACAAAAATCAAGTTTCATTTGAGTCCGCTGCGAGGCGTGCTCTTCGGGAGGGCTGTAGCGACGAGGGAGCAGGAAACGTCAACGTCCACGACAACTACTTGACGTGAGGACACAGCAAGCGGGACACCGAGAGACCAAAGTAGAAGAGACGAAACTTTCGCCTTGTTGTTCTACGCTTTCCTATATTGCAAAGTCGTTGCTCGCTTTCACAGGGTCCGGGTAGTCGAGCGTGGTTCCCTCCTCCCTCGCCAAATTGTGTCAAATGACCCGACCATTCATCTCGGAGCGTCTTCGGGGATATTGTGCTTCTGGTTGTCGTTGTCTGTCCCGCGTCCCACGTCATTCGCATCGTTGTTGCCGCTCCCCGAGTCAGATTTTTGTTCTGGCCGTTATAGCCGCCGCCGTCGTCGTCGGCGAGCGGAAATAATTCATGAAAGTAACGATGGAGAATATTCCTTCCGGAGATACTCTCGACGAGGAAAGCCTTAGTATTGGTACACTGACGACGCCTCTCCCAACGTTGCAGATCCCCCGGCAGTGATCATGAGACCCCTCGAGGGCGTGAACGTGACGGAAGGTGCGGTGGCGAACATAACTTGCCAGTACAACGCGAATCCTCCCAATATTTCCGAAGTCACTTGGTACAAGAACGGACACGTAATGGTGATCGACCATCGTCGACACGACATCATGCATCATCAGGTTTCTCTGTTTCGCATCCGCAACGTAACTCGTGAAGACCAGGGCGCGTACAGCTGCCACGTGCGCAACGCGTTCGGAACCGGCAACTCATCAAACGCTATCCAGCTCGACGTTTTCTGTGAGTACACCGCGATACTTTCGCCATTCCGCTATTTATTCTCTCCGTATAGGAAATTTCCTCTCTAATGGGGAATTAAGCGTTCATGATCGAGATCGTTCCTCACTATGTATCTGGATGAGCAGAATCATCTTCGGGACACTCTAGATCCGAAATCCGAACCGCCGCCCCGGCTTTCGAGCCGAAGGTATCTGCGGTCGCGGAGCGCGTGATGACTTGATAGGAGGGAGACATCGCCGCCTTGGCGCGAGAGCCGAGGGTTCAGGTGTCGACGCGAGTCGAGACAGGTGTCAGGGGCAAAAATGAATTCCTGAAGGACGGGCAGGTGTCTGATCGGACTCATTTTCGTCGTCTTGGCGGATGACGAGAGAACGCCTCGATGTCGTCTATTGCTCCCGGTTCTCGCTACGACTGGAAACAACGAGCCCCCGAATCATCACTGCAACACTCGTTGCCTGGAAGTTCCCACGAAGACAGCTGCGAGCTATGTGCACTGGAAAAGGCGAAGGACGGAGGAGGCAGAATATACTATATAAAGAAAGGGCTCTCTCTGAGACTTATCAAAGGGGACAAAGGACGGCAAGGGGCCGTGTGTCCGTCTGACGATGAGTTCTTTGCCGTGTGTACGTGCCATGTAGAGGCGAGCAGGGGAAGCTCAGCTCGCCCGAGAGCCTGCGGGCCCATTCGTTCGTTTCTTCGTTCGCTTATTTCCATCCAGCTACGGACCGCTGACTGGGGGGCGTTTCGACTGGCTCTGGAGCAAGAATTTGAAGCCCACGCGCATTTCTCTCAGTCGGCGACCCCTGGCTCCAAGCGATCCACAGAGCGAACGAACGAATGAATGGATGGAGGAACGAGCGAGCAGGCCGGCGAGCCATCCGCTGAGGATATTCCATTCATCCTGGGAATTTCCAGCTACACGTGCTCCATGCGGAGCGACGTTCTTCTGGCCTTAGGCTGGCTCGGCTCGAAGGAGGATTCGGGAGCTGAGCGCGGAATGAGTCGAGGGCTGTGGCTCCGGAGAAATGAGGAGCTGCGGCCGAAATGTTGGAAACCGTTCATCGCTTCCGTACACCGAACGGAAACTCCGTACAGCTGCGGAACCCGGAGTCGAAACTGAGAGCGGAGTGAAAGAAGAGAAAACCATGAATCGGAAACCTAAAATAGACAGGAGTCGGGAATAGAGGAACGAATGGTGGAAATGAAACGGGTGGTGACAGGTGCGGCAACAGGAGCTTTGGGTAGAACAAGGATTAACGAAATGAAAAGCACAGTGAAACGGATCAAGGGGCTTCGCGACGGTATTGAAGGGCGGTGCACGGCGGAGTCGGCCCGGCGATCCGTCCAGCCCCGGCTCAAAATCCCCCTGGCGGGCTTTGTTCCATCTAGAAGGAAATCGATGGAGGAAAGAGGTGACGGGAGCCAGGAGCGATTGCGGCTTCTCCAGCCAACCTTCGGACGAGCTACAAAAACCGAGTCGACACGCGAACGGGAAGGGCTTCCGAGAGACAATGCTGCGACAAGTTTCGCGCTTCGAGAATCGGAAGGAGGGGGCCGGCGGCGCAAACATACGCGGAGAACGAGCCGCGCTCCAGCCGACGGATTCAAAGCGAAAGCAACTTTCACGGAAGCCGACGTTTCGTGTCGTTGCTCCGCTCTCAGCTGCTTGCTCGCTCGCCCCCTTCCGCTCAGCCGACGACCCGGCAGCCTGCCGGAGGGTAGCTAAGGGGGCTCGGTCGACTAGCGGGCGAACAGATGAGCGGAGTCCGAACGCCGAGTTAGCTTCAGCCCGGGCTTTAAAGAGAACCCCTACGGAGATCGAAGCAGAGAAACGCAGCTCTGCCAACACTAAGTGAGTTAATTGAGCGCTAGTTCGTTCGTCGAAAGCTGGAAAAGATCTCATAATTGAATTGCGATGCGAGCCAGGGAGCGGGACGAGGAAACACACTGCCGTAGAACAATTTCTGCTCGTGCCATGTTCTTAATTCGCCTCCGTCGCTTCGCGACGGCTTCGTTGCGATATTCACGCCGTCGATTATGACGTTTGATTCATCAATTGAAATCTCCAGATCGCAGAATAAACACAGACGGCTATTTTGAGTGTTCCAAACAGTCCGATTTCGTAAATATTCTCAAAGATGATTCTGAGCGACGATCGATTGGACTCAATCGAATTTTTGAGGTGAGACGGAGAAATTCACGCGAAGCGGAGTAAGCTGTCGTCCGCAAGTTACCATGGCCGTCGACCGATGTCTGTTGACTTTGTGACGAGCGTCGCTATTTTTGTCGTCGCAAGCATTCAACGACATCGCTATCTAAGTGGAACGAACGCATGTCTGTTGAGCATCGTCAACAAGCTGTCAGTTGTCGATGGCTAGCGGCTTTTCTTGGCAATTTTTTTTTCATCCATCCGCTGTGCCCATCGTCGGGCGCTGAGCTCTGCTATGCTCTTGTCACACCCCGCCTCTCTTCTGTGTGGTCGGGAACAAATCCGTCCCTCGCTCGCAATATTTCCGTGCCATGTAGTGGGCGACGTCTCTGTGAGAGCAGATTTCTTTTCTCGACCGAAACCCTGATGAGCGCCGAGGCTGGGTTCAAGTTGAACGCGTTTTGAACACCATCCACGTCATCTAATGGTGGGGAATTTCACCAAGTTTTCATCCCCGCGGCGTTGTTCCTCCCCTTCGCCCGCCATGGGTTCTTTCTTTTCATTCCACTCGGCATCCGTCCGCCCGACCGCCGATCCGTACAATCCGGCCGCTGGTGCCATCTGCTATGGCTCGACGGCAGATGTCTGAAAAACCGAGGTTCTCCTTGTTGTTGTAAACCGAGGCGAGTGGAAAGAGTGAAAGCAGCATCCGAAAACGAGGAAGAGTCCAACGTTGCCGCTGCTGCTCTCGGTTTGCTGAGCTCACATCCGGTGTTGGCTCGCATGGTATTTCCGGCGCCGCTGTTCCGAGACGAGTCGTTCGTTCGTTCGTTCGGGGGTCAGACGTCGCCGTCACCGTTGTCGTTCCTATTAACATGTCAATGGACAGACTGTCCTCCAGCCAGCGTGGTAAAGAATTCTCAGCAGCTCCGAGGCAGGGCCTCTCGTTCATCATTTTCTATCTGAATGCTGCTCCCCTTTTCTCCTTCGTCAGTCAGACAGTCAGTCAGTCGGCGAGGCAGCCGACAAGCCGGGCGGTCTGATTCCGAGTGAGCGGCAGACGCACGGAGCAAGTCGTGGAGCCCATGCCGTGTACCGAGGCCCACGGAACGCGGTTCCATTCAGACATAATCATCTTATGCTCTGTCCTAAAGCGTCTCCACGGACAGGCGGAACGAATTTAAGCGAAATTCCGCTAACCATCAATCGTAGGCACCGGGAACAAAATAGGAGAAAACGTGGGAATCTATTGAAACCACCCGGGGTTAGAGACGGAGGGGGACCCAGCATCAGCATCATTAGGAGGGCCTCTCCTCAATCCATGTTCTGCTCTTTCGTCCCTCAATGAAAGGATCCCCGGAGGAGACTTCGAGCCGACGCGACGGGTTTCCTCAATCGGAAGTCGTATCCGTGGGTATCGAGGAACTCCATACGGTTTTATCGTCTCGTATTGAACGGCCATATGAGTCCACCACCGTCATCACGGATTTGGCGCGAATTCTAAGGAAATCCGCCTCGAGGAAGTTTGTGGAAGAGCATTGCCTGCACCCGAGTTGATCGAAGCTCCACGACAATTGTGCAGTTGCCGTCAGCTGCGATAAGTCATCCGCAGCACCTGCGGAAGCTTCTAACAATACGCTGGTCCGGTGAAGAGAGGGAGTCTGACGCTACGTCTTATTGTTTCCAGTTCAACCCGAAGTCTCTGCGTGGGTATCGCCGTCGGTCATATCGGTCGATGAAGGTCCCGTTATCTTTAGGTGCGACGTCATCGTTGGAAACCCCACCAAGTTGACCCGAGTGCGCTGGTTGAAAGACGGCTCGCTTTTCATGGAGGTCGACCGAGCTCGAATCGAACTGACCAACATCAACAAAACGCTCACCGGAACATACCAATGCTTGGCTAGGAACGAAGCCGGATGGAGCGAGTTGAGCGAGGAGGCCAGGCCTCTGACCGTTATGTGTAAGTACTATGAATCACGGAATGCGACTATGAGCTTCGATTGCCCATTAGGACTCAATCCATTGTGCGCAAATCCTCGCGGATGTCTGTCCTACTAGAAAAGAGCCTCAGTAAATGACGACGACATGTTCCCTCACACAGAGTGTGAGGAAAACTTTGTGCAGGAAGACGCGCACATCGAAGGGTTGCCCGAGATTCATTGGAAGAGAGAATTGGCGGAACCCTTCAAAGCTTATCCGGAAGCTTTCAGGAGGCGAGGAGGCCATATATTGTATACCGGAGAAGAAATACGCCCTCCAATCCGGCAGAGGAGGAAGGTTCCCTGAAAGTCCCTTTTACGTTGTCGGCTTCGCTCTCAAGTGAATTTTCGAGCCGGCTTCCGGATTGGTCGGCTGTGAGGGAGACAAGAAGGGAGACGAAATTCGTCGGTCCGAATTTCCTTATTCGAGCCCCGTAGACTTTCACAGCGAATGTGCGGGAAACGTTCTGCCTCCTTCCCTAGGAAGGATGGCTAGGTGAGAGTCAGAACAGAGTTGCTCCTCCATGCATGCTCTTGTTCACGCTGCTGATGTATTTGCTCGCATTGCAGCGCAGGCATCGGCATTATTGATGCGTCTTCTACATTGCCGGAAGCTTGGCTACTTCCGTTTGGCCTCGACGGGCGGCGCAAGGAGCGGACAGTCTGTCTGTGGGTCTCATATAGAGACGGTATCGAATATAGAGGGATGAGAAATCTGTGGTCAAGGCTATTGAGTCTTGATAGCTTTTGACAACAAGGCATTCCGCATCAATGCCGATGCCGCCGAGCACATATCATCATCGTCATATCCTAGATAGGCCGATGGGGCAGCCGATCGCAGGGTGGAAGAAAGTCGCCCGGGCCGTCACCGCTGGCTTCTCGGTCATCCGAGCTCAATGTCTTCGAGAGATAGATATGAAACGTCCGGAAAACTTCCACTCGAGCCGCTGCACTCCATGCTCTCGCCATGGACACGCTCGAGCGGAAGACGCTCCTCAGATTGGGAGAACAAATTACGACCATTCGGGAGAACTTTGCTTATCTTTTGTCCGAATATTCCGAGGCGGCACCGGCGGTGTCATTGTTCCGGGCTATTTATGAAGTTTCGGACATCGAGGGAACCGAACACCATCACACCGCAGGCGAATGAGCCGATCCCCCTCGGAAAATTGAACCTTTACGCTCCGAAAATGAAACCGAGGCCGAACATCGATGCTACACATGGAATTCCATGTCGACCTTGAGAACGACAGAGATCGGTTTAATTCCGCATAGAGTCGATTCTAGCTAAACTCTGTCGTACGTCGATGAATTTTGGTCCGCCTCGTTGAACAAGAGCTCCAACCAGTAAGAGGGCCCGGCCTCGACAACGAATCGTCGCTTAGGGAGCCCATCGAACAGCAAGCCTGTCATCGAACTCCACTTAAAGTTCGCTTCGACAAACGCGCGTTTGATGAGCCTCCTTAGGACAAGTTAGGCAGCACGACGGCTTGTTGCGCCTCGCGGTCCCAATGCGACGACTTCCAAGTGAGCGCATGTTCGGATGTGGAAAATTGTTAGAGGTACACCTGATTATGAGAAAACAGGGAGCTGTGCAGAAAAGCTGCACTTTCGTCCAGAATCCACCGAGCGGGGCGCGCTCCCAATATGATCTCGCGAGGTTCGAATAGGCGGACAGAGACGGTTTTCGGAGGAAACCGGCTATACTTGGACGAGCGAATTCGCCTGCCCTAAGTTCAACAGGCGACCCCGCCGAAATCCCGAACCCTTTCATGTTGATCTTATCATCATATCATATCACAACTGTGGGCATCGTCCTCGAGAATCGAGAGTCGCGGGAGCAGCCACCGCATTTTGCGTATATCAATACATCATCATCATACTTATCGCTGCCCATCGTTCGGTGCGGGAGTGCTGGCGGAGTGTAATGAGGCCTTTAGTCGGTCTTGACTTGGCGAGCAGCTAATCCCTGAGCTGAAGCGATCAGTCCTGTTGGCGACACTGCCCACTCATATGGCAAGTCATCCACGTCGGGTGTCTCAGGTCAGCGAAGAGCCAATCTGGCTTAGTCAGACCTTCCCTGACTCTTTTCCCTCTACCTCACTCGCTCGTACGACGACAGACCTGCCCTCGGCTCTGTCGTGCCGAGGAACTTGTATTTGCTCTTCCCTCTTAATTGCCGCGAGGAAGGAAGAGTGAACCGTTCTCGCTGAAGATCCTCCTCATTCCGCCTCCGGCGGGTTCTTTCCGTCGATCCGAGGAACTTGGCAGTCGAACAATATCTGAGACTCTCATTCGTGTCGATTGACGACGAAAGTGCCCGGACCGCCATGCTCGTTTATCTCCAATCTTCACTGATGACGACTCATCAGCAGCCGCATGCGGCGCCGATAATAAACCAATGGAGGATCTTACCCACATACACATGGAGGGGGGGATTCGAGATAGGAGCTTGCACAGGATCCATAAAACAACATTCAGGGCGGCTGTCAGGACAGCACTGTGGATACGTTGTAGTCCTTGGAGCGATACCATCATCGTCACTTAGGTCCGTTTTTATTTTATGCTTGTTGTGTGCTCAAAGGATTTCGCCTTCTCCACATCCTCTCTATCCTTGTGCTACAGTCAAGCTTTCCGCTCTTATCACAAGCTCGGCGTGTCGGAACTCTTTGACATCATCGGCGTACCCCACATATTAATCGCATCCCGGAGCGCTGAATCCACCGCTCTCACTGAGCATTATTCCCCCCTGAGCCAAGCCCTTGGATCACCAACGGTTTTCTAATTCTCTGGACAGGGCTCTGATCGTGATCGATAGATCATGATCGGTGCCAGCAGCGGACGCCCGGGTGTTCCGGCACGATGCTGGAGCTTTTTGAGTTTTCTGCAAACGACGTCGATCCACGGCAACTACTTGACGTGAGGACACAGCGAGCGGGACACCGAGAGACCAAAGTAGAAGAGACGAAACTTTCGCCTTGTTGTTCAACATTCGTTATCAGCGCGGGACCTACCGCGGATACCCGCAATCAACCGTGATCGGTGACTGAGGACACACTTTTTCGCGGGACGTCACTTCGTCCAGCGTCCTCAGGGGCTCGTGCCTCGCGCATCTTCAGGAAGGCGCGACCCGAATCGAGTCTTCAATCGTTCATTCCTCCACGGGAGCGTGCTGGCAGAATGCATCGGCTTTTTTGCATACGGTCCCGCTCGGATCTCTGACGAAAATCAATCGATTTCTGACGCTCGTCGTGTAGATGCGCCGAGACGTGGCTCTGGTGTTGACGTACTCATACTCCTATTCACGTAAACGTAGCATGCACGCGGATCATTACGTGCGGGCAAAAGTTGACTGAGTATGGCGGCAGACACGCAGCTGACTTGGCGGCTGGCATGTGTGCAATCTCTTCAATATTCGATATTCCGATGCCGTTCGCCGGAATCCGGTGTCGGGGCTTAGTGGCTCCCGGCTGGCAACTTCGACGAATGTGTAAAAAAATATGCAGCGTTTTTCCTGCGCTAGAAATTGTGTCAATAGCAGGCGGCGTCTCCAGCGTGACGACACGAGCTGAAGACTTAAAAATCGAAGCTGGTTGCTCGTTCAAGGGAATGGATGCGGCATGCTCAAAGAATGGATGGATGTGCAACGAACAGCATGGTGGATGTGTGATCTCCGAGGCAGGTTGCGGATCCAAGACTCTCCTGAGGAGACGAGAGCGTTCGTAGTGCTTTGGGGTCGGCAAATCGGTGTTTCTCCGCTCCTCGGAAGCTGGAGTGCATGACCGTCAGGGAAGAGGTACATGCCAGCCTTGCGATCACCGCACCGCGCATTCGGCTCTCTCTCCTTCAACTCCAGCCTGTGAGTCTGGATTCCGTGGAACGAAGCTCTTCAGTGAGAGCCAGCATTACCCACGGCCAAGTTCTGATGGCGATGCCGCGCCGGTTCGGCTCGGGGGGCGGATTACCATTCGGGAAATTGTGGAATCGGTCACTCGAGGGAAAGCCCTTGTTCCCGGAGACCCTTTACCAATCGGGCTACGATCTTGAATCGAGCGATTCATCTCTCCACCCCCAAAGGAGAATCCTGGGGGTTTGGTGGAGTGCAGCTCACATTCAGTCAAGTAATTTTGGCGGAAGCGATCGCCGAAGCACCCGGGAAATCTCCTGGAACGAGAGACCCACCTTCGGGACGTCTCTAGGATCTTAATCCAGCCTGCGTGAAAGCTACGAGGAACAACAGAGCTCACAAGCAGAAAAAATACGCTTACGTACGATTGCTCTTGCAAGCATGCGACGAAACGTCGCTTGCCATCGTCGCGCCGCCAATGCCACGGGCTTGGTTTTTTGCGAATCATTGCAACGTTGCCGTACCCCAGTCCCTCTCACGACTGCAGAGCAGACGGTGGAAAAGAGGCCGCGGAAACAGATGGGGGCGTTGAAATAAATGCAGCAGTGTTCCATTCCCCCGTGTTTTTTTTCTCTTTCTCCGTCGTTGTACTCTTCGCTCTTCATTCCGCTCGCCGTGCTCTTCATCTCTTCGCATTGCCCGCTCCAGCAAGAGGGTGGTTTCTGCCTGGTGGGAATAACTGTTTTGTATTCGCCTTGCGCTGGAGGGAGTTACGGTTGAGAGCGTCCCCAAAAAGCTGGCCGTTATAGAAAACGGTTCCCGTCTCGTGCAGTGCAAGCTTCGGCAGCCGACGCGGCGGCGACGGCGGCTGAGTAGCAAATCCTAAGAGGTGAAAGTGGCACTGCGTTTCGAAATATTCCAGCCGATCATGCAGCGAGTTGGCGGGACGCATCCCGAACGTCACGCGTAAAGCGCTCGCCTGCTTTTCGTTGTTTCCGTTCGTTTTTCCCTTGAGCATTCTCAACAAGCATGGAGGACACAGGAACAAATAAACTTTTCGAAACATGCTTCGTGAGCTCGTGCGGGGAGGGCGTTCAAGTTTCAATTGTTTCCGCGCCGTCAGACGGCAACGGCCGGAGCTCAGCTGCACGTCTGCACGGGAACGGAAATTATAGGAGTATTCCATTACGAATGTCGTCAGGCGACTAATGACGACTCGGAAACTTGGATTATTTCTCCTCGTGCTCTCGACGCTTGTCCCCCGTCAATCCATCACGGGGTCAGGTCGATGTAAAGAGGATCGTCGCCATAGGTCGAGCCACGTATGGTTCCGCAAGAATCCGGGAAATATTCAATTTTTCATGAGATTTGAGAAATTCCCCCGGATCCCCATCGGAATCATTCGCGAGCTGGAGGGCTTCTTGATCTCGCCTCCCGGACGGGCGTCCGACGAGCGAACGAGGAATATAAAATGAGATCTCTTCCGATTAATCCACAGATCCTCCTGGACCGTCCCAAATTCGCATGGTCACTCCACAAGACAGACCTACGAAAGGCGACCGAGTCGAGTTGGAGTGTGCCGTGGACGACGTGGGTTTTCCACCGGCGCATTCTTACATTTGGCTCCATAATGGAATGGTGCTCAACGACAGTTCGCTGGGATCAGGCGGAGCCCACGGCGATCGACTTCTCACCGAGCCTATGACGGTCGCGTCCGCAGGGAACTACTCTTGCGCGGCTGTCAACCAGGTTGGCAGAGGACTACAGCAGGGCCTCACCCTTCATCCTATGGGTAAGTTGATGGTGACTCATCTAATTAAATGTCAGAGCCATGATTGAATGAATGAAGCCACTTGTGGATATCAGACTTCTTGGTCTCTGGAGAGACGAAACCAGGGTAGCTTGTGATGGGATGGCAACTGGGTCGCGATGGGTTGGTGGTTGAGGGGTTAGGCAAGCGAGAGTCGGGCGGGCGCACGGTCGCTCGGTCGGGGCGGAGTGGGTAAGAGGGTCAGAGAACCCATCAAGTGGCACGGACGCTCGCATCCGATGACGGATCGACTTTGTTAGCTTTAGGGTTTTCGAGGCTCTTTGTCTCATTGTTGGTAATTTTGTTTCTTCAGTGCCTCCCGCGTTCATCAAGCCTTTGGCCCGGTCCGGAGGCGCACGTGTCATGAATCATAGCGTGGTCTACCTCGAGTGTGTTGTGGAATGCGTGCCTCAGTGTCACGTCTGGTGGAAACGTAACAACCGTAGCATTCACGCCGACTACGGACACCATTTAGCCCGTCACTGGGATCGGGAACACCGAGACCATACAGAGCTTGACCGAATCTTCAAGGTCAAAGCGAGCCCTGTTCAGAGCTCTCTTCGCTTAGGACATTTCAGCGCCGTGAAAAGTCTTCTCTACTGGAACCTCACCGAGTTGGCAGACATAAACATCGACGGAGACACATTCACTTGTGAGTCCAGCGGCAACGAGGCCGGATCCGGAGTGAGCAGTTCCATTCGCTTCAAACTCGAGTGTAAGTTCCCTACAGTCGCGAAAAAGCACCAGATGCGCGTTACGTTCTAATTGACTCACGGCCAGGGAGGCGAAATGAATGATCCGAACACAAATCTCCTTCGCTCACAGATGCTCCAGAAGCGGTCGGTCTGTCCGCTGACGAAGTCGAACTTCTAGAGGGCCACAGTCTGGTCGATACGATCACTTGCTCGGCCGCTGGCAACCCGCCGCCGAAGCTCGTATGGACCCTCAACGAACGCGTCATCTGTACCGGACCGAATCTGATTCTCCCAGATCCCCTGCGCCGAGAAGCAAGTGGGAACTACACTTGCACAGCGACCAATAAATATGGGGAACGGAGCGCCAGTGCAATGGTCAACGTTCTCCACAAACCCGACTGCGTGGTCACTAAGGAGGAGGACAGCACCGGGGATATCGTGCTCACATGCGAGGCCATAGCTGCCCCACCGGTTCTCAGTTTTTCATGGTGAGTGATCCTCAGCCGAAGAGACCGATCGGCTTAGATTCACTCCAGGCTGTGGCTAGGAATCTTAAACGCGAACATGGAAAACCTGGGAAAACTCCGTGGTCTGAGCGCTGTACATGAGTATCTACCTACCTATTTTGAATTCGATCCCCAACTCCTCAGGCATCACAACAACAAGTCTCTATCCGAGGAGAACTTGATCGCGGGCGACACTCGCTCTGTGCTGGTCCTGCAATCTCCCGATTCCTTCGGGCAGTACTCCTGCGTGGCCACCAACCTCATCGGGTCTTCGGAACCCTGCGTCGTACGCTTAACACGATTGCCTTCTCCAGCAGGATGGGTGAATCTTTTCCTGAAGGAGGAGAACATTCTCATTCTCACCCTCGCGCTCGCTGCCATCCTCGTCATCGCGCTGATGGTGTTTGTGGCGCTAGCCTTCATTCGCAAAAGATGTACGTGTTCCGCATTCGGTGAGCCCACACAGTGCTCGACGGCGTAGATCTCTAACCCGATTTCGATTCGCCCCCCTCCGACATTGGCCTCCCGATTTTCAAACCCACCATGGCATCTGAAGCGCAATACCAAAAATTCCTGTAGAACTCCCTCCCCCTCGACGCATTCCGAACGAGCGCCCTGTGCTGTAGACTCTGACTAGAATCTTCTAATATGTATCTGCGTATTTCCAGCTGAGGCCAAACCGAGAATTCATCGGGAAAAGTTCGTATCGTCCGCATATTCTTTTATGATTCTCACTAGAATTTCACGAGGCCGAAACGTGCACGCTCCCCATGGCCATAATAACTCCGACGCGACTAATCAACTAATTCCCGCTACGACGTCTTGCAGCGCGCGGCTAGTTCTCATGGACGAAACGCTTCCGCATGTTCGAGCGGACACTAAAAGTCAACTGCTATTGCCCGATGGAACGCCTCTGATATTCACGCCGCAAGGTCGGGCGACGACCTTACCTCCGGAGATGATAGAAAACCCTTACCAAAACATCGCCGAGTGCCGCGGTACTGGATACGATCGCGAGCATCCGTCGGAGCTGCCAGCACACGGAGCCAAGATCGCAACCTTGCGTTCTGGCATGCGAAATGCTGCGTCCGACGAGAACAATTACGCGCTTCCGAGCGAGGCATCTCACCAGGGTGGCGGCTGTCATCTCCTGCGGCCGCGTCACGAATCCAAGCCATCGCTGACCGTGAACCGCTTACACGCTGTCAGCCGAGAAGACTTCGCCTGTGTTCCTCTCGAAGATCGCGGAACTCAGCGTCGTCAGCGAACGCTGCAGCCGTCGAGAGCGATAGGAAGGAATTACGCGACGGGAACTTTGGCCGGCGCGCCGTATTATGCGGCCGCTGCAGCCCATACGATGCAGAGCGGGTCGCGTGGACCGCTGCATAAAATCGGAGATATCTGAGTACAGCCTTAATGAAATAGGAATCCGTCTCTACGTAATTGTATTTACATGTTGAATAGAAGGAAACACGGCGCAAGATGATCTGTACGGGAAACCAGGGGGAGTCGACGTTTCCGAACTTGTGGCAAAGCGGTGGGGTTACGAAGAAACTCACTCCAAGTACAATTCACGGATTGCTTGAAGACGTCCACACATTAAAAAGGTCTCGAGGAGTGATGTGGGAGCTCCCGGGTGCATTGGTAGCTGATCGAAAAGTCAAGCGAAACCGAAGGAGGCTCAGGTCACGGGAGTCTCCGCGTGGTTTTGGAAGTGATAGTTCACTGTTAATTCTGTGTACAGTTGTATCGAAATGATGGTGTAAACGTGATATAACCGAGCGTGAATCGGATCACCGGAGCAGCGAAGTCTCGCCAAGCCTTCTCTTCCGCTAGAGTGGACGGAAGTGCCGAATCCAAAATACGTAGTTGCGACCGGGAGGTTTATTCGTCGACGATTCCGGTGAATCATCCCGCTGAGTCGCTCTGACTGACTGGGATTGAATTGAGTATTTCTGTGGTATGCCTCAGGATCCGTCGCGGTCTCCGGAGGAGTGAGTCTTGGGAGCTGCACTCGACGTCGAAACCCGACCCGTATTTGTTATTGTTTGGGGCATCAACATTTCTTCTCGGTCTGATAGGAGAGCGCAGCGTTTCTATCCCTATGATGGCGTCGTTCGGGACTGACAAGCAAGGTCGCTCAAAATATGTTTCACTTGAAGAGGGAAAGGCGCCAAGAGAGAAGAGGTTCAAAGTAGGATCTTCCAATTTCTGAGGACAAAATATGCGGTGTGGATATCCGGCATTCGTCCCCGATGAGTTCTGTTCAGCGGACTCGGGGGGAATTGAATGATCGGTGGAATTCCTCTTCGTCTCATCCGTGGAATGATTTGCCGCAAATGCTTCTCGGACTTGGTTCCAGCTCGGAGCATCCATCCACCGCAGACGAGCAGCGCTGACTTGGACATCTCTTGAATCATACATGTGTATGTATGATATACACACGTCAGCTCGTTTAGTTCGAACTTCCTCGAAGTCAAGACCGGGGAAGCCGTTTTGCTTCGAGTCATTGCGAGAACTCACGTCGAAGCTATCAGGATTAGTAGGATGACGCGACTCATTGATGAACAGTGGACTCGGGGCCGAGCGATGCAGAACTCAAAGTGTTTCCGAAACGTAACACAGGATGTCCCAGTCAGCAGCTTGGGCTCCTCTGTCCGGGGAGGACGTCCTCTGACAGCATGGCTTTGGCCGAGGTTCACCTGACTCGACTGTTTTGTGATCTTTTCGATTGATTTTCTCGACCTCTGGATCGACATATTAGCGGCCGAGTAGAAATGGTCATCGGAAAACTCCGCCTAGGTCTCGGGGAGAATCTCCGGGAGATGCGCGAGTAATGGATTCATACGGAAGGCATCGTCATCAGAGATGGATCCCTCTTCATTGCCTCAATTATTCTTAGAGTCCAACAGGAGGAAATTTGAACTGCTCCGGTCTCGACATAGTCACTTATCTATGGGAGTCGATTCGACTCGAATGTAGCTCCCAAGCGGATCGCGAAAGAATCGCTTTGTTGGTCAGTGTAAATATATCCCTAGGTAGACCTCCAGAAACGGGTGTTGCAATATCATCCACAAATTTAGGAACGGGGTATTTGGAGATTGAGAGGCCGAAGCGAATGGATACGAGACGAGCTGAGAAACTGCGAGTCGAAAGGGGGAGGTCGAAGTTACGGTGAAAGATTCGAAGGAAGAGTAGAGGAAGGGAATCTTCCGTCCCGCCGCATTATCCCTGGTGGAATTGAAATTTACCCAGGGGACGCAATTGGTAGGGACCTCCGTGATAGAGATAGATGTGAGCGAACTCTTTTTTCGATGTTTTCGCCCTTAGAGCCGGCCTCTCCTCGGATACGCACAAATCAATAGACTATTGAATAAGGGAATAGGTTCAGAGAGACCGTCTCGCAGATGTTTCAAGTAAGAACCGGCAGCGAGGTGATCGGCTTCGACATTTGAGGTAGTCCAATTGCCTCGACCCCCATCCGTAATGAAATGAATGTAAATGTCTCCAATTAACGTGGCATGAGAACTTTTATCAACATTGAGCATCACGGATTGACAAATTTGAAACGTGACGAATCAATCGAATGGTTATCATCAATATTTACCTGTACTAATACTACGCCGAGTACATCATGGATATTAATGGAATTAAGACACACAAGAAATAAACGGAATGTATATATCGCCGGCGACGACCCGGCACGGAAACAACTCCAGACTCATGTTTTCAATAGGTAAGATATACCAGTGCCCATTGTGTACAGGGTGGCCGATTTAAATTGACACTTTTTCGAATGTACCGCCCGGAGCCGAAAAAATGCATCCATCCGCGAGCTACCGCGGGTGTTTGTGTCTGCACCTGTGGACCATTGAATAATAACAGAACCATGGCGGGATCTGATTCACGGCCTCCGGAGCTGGTCCGAAGACAAAGTATTGTGCTCGCGCTCCGCGCAAAAATGCGGCCGGCCGAGATAATCCGGAAGCTGAAACTCCCGAAGAAGACGGTGTACCGAGTCGCGAAAGTTTTCTCGCATGCAGAAATTTCGGAGGAAGGATCCTACACACCGGGGCGCGCAAAAACTCACGTTCGAAAAACGGCCGAAGCGATCTCCGAGACTCGTTAATGCCGTCCGTGAGCGAATTTCGAAGGATCACCACATTTCGCAACGACGCCTGGCCACGGAATATCGAGTGAGCCGTGATAATGTGCGAAATGTGATGCAAAAGGACCTTAAGTGCAAGGCCTATCGACCGAAAGTCCGACAAATGCTGTCAGAGGCAAACCGGAAAGCTCGGGTCGAGAGATGTGGACGGCTCCTTCAATCTTTGAGGACTGACACTGCTCGGTGTATCCGGTTCTACTCAGACGAGAAAATCTTCACGGTCGACGAAAAATTCAACAGACAAAACCATCGATGTACTGTCACCTGTGCAGAGAATGCGTGAGAGGTCCCGAAAACGAAGTTCCCGGCGAGTGTTCATGTTCTCGGGGTGGTTTCAAGCCAAGGACATGTTATGCCTCCTTATTTCTTCGGTAGAGCTGAAACTGTCACGAAGGAGGTTTATCTGAGGGTTCTACAAACTGTGATAAAGCCTTGGATGGATAGAGTGAGCGATGGAAACCCATACGTCTTCCAGCAAGACGGCGCGCCGGCTCACACGAGCCGTATGGTTCAAGATTGGTTATCGTCGAATGTGAACATGTTTTGGCCAAAAGAGTTCTGGCCCCGTAATGGCCCGATCTTAATCCGATGGACTATTATGTGTGGAGCGCTTTTGAATTGAGGTCCAACAAAGAACGCCACCCGAACACCGCCTCACTCACCCTCGCCATTAAGCGGGCGTTTCGTGCTCTTCCGAAGCATATTGTAAAAAGAGCCTGCGGTAGCTTCCGACGTCGGCTCGAAGCCGTCGTAGCCAATAATGGGGGTTACATTGAATAAACATCTTCGTAAGGGTACAGAGATTTTGCCCCTATAGTATCTTGAACCTCCGACCTGTTTTCATTTAGCTATGCCTTCTCAAAGTTGCTTGTAGCGAAAGTGTCAATTTAGATCGGCCACCCTGTAGAGATACTTGGAGGAACTGCTCCGCGGCAGGTTCTGGCCTCCGTCTTGCGAAGCTCGAGGATTGAGAAGGTAGGGGACACCTGGCGGTGCGGACTGATATCAGAGCCAGCCCAAGAATTCCAATTCCAAAAATTCTCTCCCTCAACCCTCAATCATCGAGGATGAAATTGTGTCCGAGAGAAGCCCTCGTCGGGTGCAGAGTTGGTCTGGTCGGCTCGTTCGGAGTCGACTTCTGACATTTTCTGGATGACTTTTCCTCAAACCCGACGCGCATTATTAGCCTGGACGAACCCTGATGGTGCTTGCAGGAAGCCGCCAGGTTCGCGGCTCAATCGCAAGAGATGGCGCCTGCTCATCCCATGATTATTTGCAGCGGGTTTGTCGGGAGACCTCGAGGTACGGGATTTGCGGGATGGCGGAAATGTAGTTTTTGTGGTTCGTGGTTTGCAACGTTCCGCTTCTGCTTCGATCTTGAAGATGTATTCTCAACGTTGTTTCATTCTGTTCGGCGGTAGTACGTTTGTTCGCTCGCTTTGAGATTTTGTACCGAGGGAAAATTTCGAGCACAGTTCAGCTGCTCGGAACGACCGATTCGGCACGCTACTTTGTAGCTTTATTCCTCTGAACATCTCATGAGATCGATTAAAGACCCGCTGTCAGTGTAGGAACCTGTATGAGAGAGTGGCAAGGGGAGCGAACAAGTCGTCCGTGTCGGATTTCGCGCTGGAACTCGAGATCGACCGCGATCGATTAGCTCAACTCAACTCTTTTTCCTTTGTCAAGAGGTGCGCCGTGTGCAGTCTCTTGCCGGAAAATGTTTTTTTTTTGTTGTTCCCTCGCGACAGCCTTGGATTCCGTGCTCCAAATTTGTGAGGTCCGAACTTGTCGTATGCCCAGTGCGGGATAAAAACGGGTAGAGCTATGCTTGATTGATTGATTTGCCTCACGCTCTGGTAGGGTGGAGCATCCTCGGGATGTCGCTCTCTTCTTGTTGCACCTCCCGCGAGTTATCGATGCGAACGATACGCGCAAAAGAAAAATCGCTGCGGTCGCTTGGATTCCCTCCAAACTCATAGAACTGATTATTCGGCTATGAGGGAAAAACAATGAAATATGATCAATTGATGAGACATGAACTTTTGTCACGATAATATCTACCTTCCCCCCTACCCTTGCCTTGCTCTTAAACGACTCGACCCAGGACTGTCGCTGAAGGACTGCCTCACGAGGAGCTTCGGAAGTCGGTGATCTTCGGTCATATTGTTCGACCTCTTCAGCGGTAGCCTCCTCGGAGGACACCGGTCCGAGCGCATCCCCACGAACCGCTCGAG